CTCGTTGATATCAAATTTTTCTCTCCACTTCACGAAATACGATGTTACACACAGTCCAAGTACATCCTTCTTGTTTTCAATAAAACCTCGTACATATTTCGTAAGAATATTCATGCATTAGGATCGTTAGAGGAGCGAGAACAATCTTATCACCGAGACACTAATAAATAAGACAGACTACGGAAAATTAGAGCCTCGATGTAACGAGAAGGATGCACAGTGACGAATAAATAACTTTCCAGAATATTCTACCTTCTCAGTGTCTTCTTTTCACGATTCGTACATCAAAGAACGTCGGAGGGATCTGCGATCGGAAAGTAGCCGGTGGTCATTAGGCAGGAACGTCAGGATCAATGGACGATAAAACGTAGAAAACTGCTCGATCACCGGGCACATTACAGCGTCGCTGAAATAACGAGCATGCCAATAATATCTGGTCGTTTGCCAGAGAGGAGGGAGAGACATCGTGCTTGCGAAAAGGATTACATTTGGTTTACGTTGGGTGGTTGCCTCGTAAATAAGCGTCGTCCATGCGCGTAATCCTGAAATCGTCGATCAAACGAGATCGTGAGGAATTTTTCGAGATATGTACGCGGTATATTTTCGAGGAGAGAATGTTTACCTTTAGAGAGTGAGAGAGAGAGAGAGAGAGAAATATAAAACGATGCTGAAAATAGTTGAGAGCTCAGACAGTTCGAGACTTCGTCGAGGGCTTTGATTTATCCAGAAAGGAGGATCTTCTTTTTTTTTTTGCAGATAATCGATTTCACGATTGCGAAATCGTGTCCTTGGTGACAAATCCCCGTTGGTACCATTGCCAATAATATATGCCGTTGCTATAATAAATTGCGAAGAATATTATATAATTGGAAAAACGTGGGGAGAATGGTTGAGAGGCAGTAAATGTATTACCCTCGGTTGAATAACGATAATGGATGAAAACAATGAATAAGAATGATCCTGACGGACGTCTGGAAGCATCTCGATGATCGGTGATGTCGAAATGGCCGCCACCTATTACAGATACACACCAACAACTGCCACACACGTACATTATTACTGTTATAACATTACGTTACATGTCGCATGATAGTGAGTCAACAGTTACAATATGCGACGCTCGTCATCGTTCGCGCCTTCAATCGGCCAATGAAACCATCTCTTCTATGGATCATTGTCGCAGATGACCTTCGCGAAATCCGCCTAATTTGTCTTCTTCAACGAACCGCGTCGATTTCCAACAGATTTCTCGCGGAGATCTCGTTTCTTTTACTTTTATCCACCATTTCAAGTCTTTTCTTCATTCATGATTATTCTGTAAAAAGTGTGTCTCAATAGCTGGAAATTAGGGATCGTGAACGTTCCATTGCGATCGATGACGAGGAGAGGGTGAAAAAGTTGTCGATTTCCAACAGATTTCTCTCTCGGAGATCTCGTTTTTTTCTTCATCCACGATTTCAAGTCTTTTCTTCATCCATGATTTCGAGAATTATTTCGCAAAAAGTGTCTCAATAGTCGGAAATTAGGTATTGTGAACGTTTCATTGCGGTCGACGATGAGGAGAGGGTGAAGAAGTTTTGGATTTTCAACAGATTTCTCTCAGAAATCTCGTTTTTCGTTTATCCACTATTCCAAGGCTTTTCTTCATCCACGATTTCAAGGCTTCTCTTCATCCACGATTTCTTCTTTTCTTCATCCATGATTTCTTCTTCTCTTCATCCACGATTTCTTCTTCTCTTCATCCACGATTTCTTCTTTTCTTCATCCACGATTTCTTCTTTTCTTCATCCACGATTTCAAGGCTTCTCTTCACCCCCGATTTCAACGCTTTTCTTCATCCACTATTTCAAGTCTTCTCTTCATCCACGATTTCAAGGATTATTTCGCAAAAAGCGTTTCTCAACAGTAGGTGTATCTTTAGTTGGAAATTACGCGTCACGAACGTTCCATTACGATCGACGATGTGGCGATTGTCAAAAAGCTGTCGGTTTCAGGATGATGGATATATATGTAGTATGTAGTTGAATGGCTGCCAGAACGTTTATCGTACCCCTTTCACGCGTGTCGCCGTTCCACCTTCGAAAATATGGCACTCATCGTCCCATTCATTGACTCACAGGAACCACTGATCGAACGCAACAGACCATGCTACTATTTCTGTGAATTGCATCAAACGCGTCAATGATGTAACATTCATCTGCTCTCAACACCAGTTGTGTCCATGGTTAATCTGACTAAATATATCCACCTCCATTACCTCCTGCGTACAGATCCCTGTTTTTCATCTATCAGAAAACAGAAGGTAACGAAGATAAATAAATGAGAAGTTGTATGTTGATTGATTCGATGATCATTTCGCGGATCGATCGTCGTCCAGAAAAAAGAAAACGACGAGTTATAACAGCTGTACAGGGTGTGTTAAAATTTGTGACGTAAGTTCTACGCGAGATTTTTTAGATTAGCTGTTTAGAAAGTGGATCGATCGTCGATCGATGTTAATTTGGTAAATTATCAAATTATAGCTGTACAGTGTGTATCAAAAATCGATCGTTTAGAAGTCGGGACATAGATCAGTTTGCACAAAAATTGCAGTAATGAAACTTTACGGATTTGATGGATCTTGACGAATCTCTCGAGATAAAAGGGAATGTAAGAATTGTAATATTGCCAGAAAATCAAACGCTAACAGGGTCTAATGATGGATATCTGTTCTAGCTGTCATCCAATACACTCATTGATCCATCTGACTCGGTCGAGATCAATGGACCACGAAGCAACGGAAACTGATCGGCACGCGGTCGACTTTGTATGACAGCGTCGATGAAATATTAACACCGTGATCAATATCGTCGGCTGATACTTGTCCTGAAACAGATATAACAACCTGACGTTAAAATACACACAGCGACAAGGAGTGCGCAAGTTCCTTCCATCGATGACCTCCATTTCTATGTCAGAACGATTATTTATTTATTTTACAGGACAAACCTATTGACCCTTTCCCAAACGAGTCACTTTTGATACTGAAATCGAGATCAATTTTCGTTGGAATACTTAAGTGGAACATATTCCTCTCGTTCCTCACGAAAGGGTTAAGATACAGGACCAGATAGATACAGAAGTATTCACGAAAGATCGACTGTAGTTATTTAAAATTACACGAAGAAAAATTTCGGTTGACTTCGTTTTTACATTTTGACGAGAGAAGCAAGAATAAATATAAAAAATTGGCTGATAATAACGTATGACGATAAATAAACGAATACGTAATTTCTAAGTCACGTGGCGTTATAAAGGGTTAAAGAGATCGACAGATATACGAACGGAAGAACGCGTGTAAATGCTGTGCTACAATTTTGGCAACTCTCCCCTGTGATCTATAAATAAATCAAATCTGCGATAAATTTCATTATAAGAGAGTTGCAATTAGGTAACACTACACGCAGATAAAACTTTCAAAACGCTCGTTCTAAAACTTCAAAGTGAACCACAGAAGAATTATAAATTCTATTCGACTGGTTCTTCGATAGAAGCGTGACCCTTTGATAGAACGTTTCTTTCCTCGTCGGTTAGGAGACAGAGAGAAACGAGTCCAACGGAATTCCGTGCAATGCGATTGTCCAGACGAAGAAACGACCGTTGAATCGATTTTTCGGGATCATCTCTGTTACTTAGAGGGGAAGATAAAGCGTAACGTAACAGCCTTTTCTAAGCGCTCCCTTTTCATACGTTTCCTTTTCAAGCGAATCGAGCCTTACAACCTATTGCAGCCTCAACCGTCCTTCGTTAAGCGTAACAATGAAGGTACGCGGAAAAAACCGTAGGTTTCTAAGAAGAGCATTAACGTAATCACCGGTTGGAAATTGACAGAGAATCGCTGGACAATTCTCCGCCAATTTACCGGTGATTTTGTTATAACAAATCAAGGCGCCACGAGACAGAGAGAGAGAGAGAGAGGCAAATTGAAAAGAGGCGATATTTCTGTGAAATTTCTAAGAAGACTCGAAGAATCCTACGTTCATTCTTTTTCTCACCTGTGTTAAGTATTTGAACGCGTCAGCCTAATTAACACGTTCACTGTTCCCTGAACCACATACATGACTTGGTATACTTTCAACTCACCCACGCAAGATACTTTTCTTTTCTTTTTACACAGAAAGGAAATAATTATTCTGTCACCCATTTTTTTTCACAAAAAGAAACATTTTCTTCCAAGTAATTTTTAAAACTGACTCGAAATTAACTTTTCTACTCGTACTACTTGCACAGCGAACGTGTTAACGATGCTGAACGATGGAAGCAACCGTATGCAGATTAGAGGATATTTTAATTCCATGGTCGATCGAGGTAGCAACTAAAGATATGACACAGAATTTCCATAAGTCTCGAAAGGAAACGTACAATCTCAACAACGAAGAATCTCTCTCTATATATATACATATACTCCTTCCAATTCGCGTCAAGTTGAATAACAAGTTATCCAAAAATAAAGCGCAACAATTGTCCCGAACGACAACCACTGTCGATTCATTCTCGCAAGAATGTTAATTTGCGTATCCAGGATGCATCATCGACCCGCGGCTAAAGTAGCTAACAAGTAAGCTACGTTTCGCGTGGAATAGTGGATGGTGGGGAGCGAGATCGTGCTGGGTGGTGTTCCTGTTGCACGTACATACCCACATGCATCCCCACGTAACGATTCGCACGTGTGATCGTACACGTGCACGCTACACGCATACACGCGCGCAGAGAGAGAGAGAGAGAGAGAAGAATCGTCCTATGTAAATACACGAGGAGGCAGTTGGTGGGGGCACGACGCCTCTCTAAGCGACGCTCCGCGTCTTCGTCAGTCAAATCGCGATCGTCTCCGCGTGATGGGCTAGCTGAACTCCTAGTACAGACGAAGAGCAAGTAAGCAAGCAAGCAATCGGTGTGATTGGACGGGTGTTTAAAAAAAACATATCTAAGTTGACAAAAGTGGGCCAGCTAAACGCGCGCCACAGTTGCCGGGCCACGAACGCTCCTGTTCCGGATATCAGCTTTCAACTGGATCGTCGACGGGTCTTCGCCTCTTCCTGCCACGTGATCGGACTGAGAAAAGTGAGACACGTAAGTGAGTGGTGACGTTTAAAGTGGTGAACGGATAAGGGACGCAGAGAAAAATGAAGACTCTCACGTTGTTGCTGGTCCTGGTCACTATGACTCAGTGTCGCGACCACGAGCCCTTCCAGGTGATCTTCCAATGGGACACCATCGATTACAACTGGCCATCCGAGGAGGAACGACAATTCGCTATCACCCACAACGATTACGTTCCCGAATTGAACGCTATAGCTGGTATAAAAATTTGGAAGAACAAAATGTACCTGACTATACCGGGATTAACCAGCGGAGTACCTGTGGTTCTAGCAGTCACGGCTAGCATGCCTGTGAACCAAACGACCGCTCCTAAACTCGACGCTTTTCCCACCTGGGAGATGCAGAAGCTCGGAGATTGCAGTGCCTTTCAGATGGTGATGAGCATGGAGATCGATCCGAAAGGGCGAATGTGGGTGATCGATTCTGGAACGAGATACGCTTTCGTTTCTAAGACGAAGACCAAGTGTCCTCCGAGATTGGTGATCCTGGATCTCGAGAACAACGGGGAGATCCTTCGAACTTACGAGTTCCCTGATCACGTTGTTCGCCAAGGCAAGACCGTGTTGAACGATCTAGTCTTGGACCACGAAGACGGTGGCATGGCATACATCACGGACAACGATTACGAGGATCCAGGTATAATCGTCTACTCTCTGAAAAGGAACACCTCCTGGAAGATCAGACACGACTCTATGAAAGCTAAACCCGAGGCCTCTCCGTTCATGGTAGCTAAAACTCCTGTCAGCATACTTATGCCTATCAGTGGAATCGCCTTGTCTCCAGCTAGCAACCAAGACAGACAAGTGTACTATTCGCCGCTCTCCTCGTTTCATCTCTACTCTCTACCGACGTCGGTGCTGAAGGAAAACATGTCGAACGTGGACGAGCACGTGAAAGAGCTCGGAAGGAAGAATTCTCAGACCGATGGTATGATGATGTCAGCGAACGGTGTGCTGTACTTCGGCCTACTAGCCGACGATGCTGTGGCCATGTGGGACACCAAACAGTCCACCTCGTTCACCACTGGCCAAAGAGTGATCGCTAGGGACCACACGAGGTTACAGTGGCCAGACACGTTCGCGTTCGACGAGGACGGCAATCTCTACTGTGTGACGAACGCGTTGCAGAACATACTACGGCAACGTGTGAACAGCAGTATCTCGAATTATCGGGTGATCAAGGCGAAGACCGGAGTGAAGAGTTACCAGTATTTGGAGGATGGATCCGCGCCGGAACAACCAGATATACCAACATCAGGGGCGAGCAGGATTAACTTCGTTATAGCCACTGGATTAACCATTCTGTTGACCATTGTCGTGCAGTAACGTCTTTCTCTCCCCCCCCCCCCCCTCTCTCTCTCTCTTGTCCATTTATTCGTGTCCCTCTTCTATACGAATACGCTCGGGTATACCAAAGACGTTCGTCTAATATCCTTCCAATTGTACATCACAGAGATATATATTATTATATACGTCGCAGTGTTTCTGTGTGACCTGTCTAGAGGTGGTGATGAAACGGTTTGAAATTTAGTTTGACCATTCAAAATCAGCGAACATTCAATTCTCTGTTACATATCCTCTCTTCTGATCTAACTCTGTAAGGTTTCTTCAATCGTTACGAAGATCCTCTCGGGAGAGTATTGACAGTTAATTCCGAATTTTTCTACACGTGTAACGTGTTCGCGCAAACACTTGTAGATCGGCGATTCGCGGGGCTAAACCTGGGGGAATCCTGTCAGTTAGGGAATAATTGGATCACAAGATCGCATTAAATCCGACGAGCAACAATCTAAAGTGAAACATTAGATCTCTCGGGTTTCAAGACTGCCAGAGAACGGGTCTGTTCAATGTCGTTTTGATTATAATCATCTTCGAGATTCTCATCGATTCATCCTCTAGTATAATAATTATCCGGCGTACGCTCTCCTACTATATACTCTCGAGCATGACTCGATAAACATACAGAAAAATACGTGGCAAAAATGTTAGAATTTTCTTCGTTTAGACACTCGACGGTAACTTTCGCTGTTAGCATCGTGTATTAATAACGCGATCAGTATTCCTCTCGTGCCTCTGTTACATTAATCAGGCCAAGAGTGTAATTGAATCGCCGAACGTGTTAACATCGTTGAAACGAAAAGAATCGCACTTTCGTACGGGGGGAGGGCGAAACTTTTCTACGCGACACACCGTCGCATTCGCGGTTAATTGACCCCGAATTAACATCGGCCAATAGCCACTATTAAATCTGCCGGGCGAATTAAGACGCTTCCAGGCCGATAGCACGATTACAGCGGGAGAAAATTCGACGGTGAACGTAAAATTGTCAAAAACGTTTGTTGCCGCGCGTCGAGGGTTGAAAGGGAAAATACGGAACGTTTGTGGACGAAGGCCATTAACGACGATAGCTGCTGCTAATCGAGAACCTGTCTCCCGGCGTAGGGGAGAGAAACGAAATATCGTCGAAAAGTCTACGGAGCTTAATGGAGTTACTTAGCTACACGAGAGATATGAAGAATTCGGGGTCGAACAACAGGGCAACGCGACAATGAACGACACTGATCTTTCTGACTCGAGAAATTGATCCTCTGTTACACGATACACATTCCATCTCCGGGGACTGTTCGATTTTTCCGAATCCTCGAGGACTTCAACACGGCACGCACTACTTATTACACTTCTTATCGTTACAATAAATTCATGCTAATCGAAGTAATTGGAACGTCTTATCGAGAGGGCATTCGGTGACACAAAACCTGGACATTGGATAATTCATGTTGGTGATTACGATAATCGTCTTAAGTGAAACATCGAAAAATATGTCGAATTTATCGCTTGTTTCGTGTCGCGTCGATTTACACTTGTAACAATGTGGAAATCGAATTTTTACAATTAAATTGCGGATTTTTGTGCGAATTTATATTTTTCAGAATATAGTAAAAAGAAGTAGATTTACGGTAGAAAATTATTTCATCTACCAGGCAATTATAAAAAGCACTGTAATTTTGATATTTCGTATATTTTTTCGTATTACGCGGATTCTATATAATTTCGTACCTTCAAATTTCTTATAAACGCATAAAAATCCGCGGTCTAGTTGTAATACAGAATTGATGGCCGAAAAGTGTAAATTCGTCTCGAAACGAAACATCGTCTCTGATTACTTCGACTGGTATATAGATATAAATTTCCAGCGTATTGTTGTTTTATCGAATTATCGCATTAATTATTACATAGACTGGATACAAACGTAAGTCGCAGAGGATACAAATTCAGGGGAAACAACCATTTATTATCAACCTGTTTCCTTGCTAGATTGCAATATCGTAACGAGGGTAATTACCATGAATTATACGTGTTATTTATACATCTTTGACCTGACACAATGAGTCTCGTATGATCTTGACAAAAAAATGACATACCGATTCTTTTTTTGTTTTTTTTTCTTCTTCTTCGTTTGCAACAGGGAAAAAGGGAGAAAGACGAGATAGATGATGAATTTCTAGTACCTTAATATATAAACGTATGTATGTATAATTGGTGTATACGCTACACTATGTAACATGTACGAATAGCTTTAATGCATATGGCCTTATTTTACGACGATGAATTGAAACTGTATACCACGTTCCGTTGGAAAGCACGCGGCGTTAAATATGAGTCATTTGTCCGTAAGCGCTGGTGAACGCAACTTTCCGCCATTTTCGCCACATTTATCACTTGCAATTATTGTCCCGTTTCGCGGAACGAATATAGCAATGTGTGTTATCAGTTCTGTTTACTCCGAGAAACGTAACATCGCTTCTTTCTTTCTTTTTTTCTTCAAGCATCCAAAATAATCGACGAAATTTTTATCGAGATCCGAAACTCAAGTTCACAATACTCGATCGTCCGCGCGAGCAATAAAATTCGGTTCATCGGACACACCCTGTACGATCGATCGTGGTTCGAAGAAACGGAAGTACAAAGAGGATGGTTTCGAAGTTCTGTTCAGTAGCGGAGAATTGTCACGTTCAAAGGCTGGCTATTAAACAGACACAATGACGGTGTGAAATGAATCTTTCATACGTCGCGTTACGTGGCCGGAATTCGTGTTTGTTAATTGAATGAAAAGAGAGAAAAAAGAAGAAAAAAGATGAAAAAAAAAACGGGGGAGTTCCAAGAGCGACACGAACGACGTGTTCGAAAAGGAAAACGAAGGAGCATGTTCGCGGTGGCAATCTCGCTTTCAGCCTCCCTTCCCACAATTGTCTCCACTTTCAGCCACGCAGCGTCCCAGTTTTGCGGCGAAGTGAGCCGCACGCACATTATTATACACGCCTGCAAAACGGAGCCGGGACCTAGCCCTGAACCACGAGTCAACGAACGCCCAGGGAGAGGCTCGGAAGATTACAAAACTTCGCCGGAGAACTGTGTGCACGCTCTACACCTGAGATTAATCACGCCGATCGTACGAGTCGTCGGGAAGCACTCCTGCTCGAATCGCGCCACCTATTTTCCACCTTGTCGATCGATCAGATCAACGTGACGGAGCGCAAGGAGCATGTGAAACTCGACAGTTTCGCTAACTTTACCTAAACAGGCCTTTTAGATACGCACACAGAGAAAAAAAAAAGGCTTCTTTCCTATTTTCCACCACGAATCGATGATTTCACCGTGGAAAAGTGAATTTCCATAGGAAAATTTCCACGCGACGTTAACACCGATAGAGAAAGAGGGAGGTTGAAGGCTAACGAAAAATGTATATACTACGCGCGCAACAGTGAATCATAAATCGTGCACGCAAAAAGCGCAGCCTTCGAAATCGAGACTCGCGGCGGTCAATTGCGCTTACAACAAATGATGTCATCGCGCTATGAAAAGAATATTAAGTGTCTTCGGACTGGTGTGTACGACAACGGTGTTCAAGGTAGGTTTCGGTTCGCTCGTCGTGATGATTAAGCGCTAACTGAAAAGTTCAGGGAGACCGGTCGACGAAAATTCGTCTAAAATTAAACTCGAGCGCTCGCGAGGAACCACCTCGAACTATCCGTGTCCAGACAACGATTACACGGCTTTCCCTCGATTAGAGATGACCATCGGATAATGAACGGATATTTAGATCCGCGAACAGTGATTGTATATTTGATTCGATGGTCGTGGAATTTCAACAAAACGCGTTCTTCGTTTTGTTTCGAGAGACACGCTTGTATCGCGTTATTCGATTAAGAATGTAACACACTTGTAAAGACGTACGTTGTTAAACGAGGATAGTTGTGTTGTTACTAAGAGTAATTCAGCGAGCGTTGTAAAGATTCAACATTGATCGACCAGTCTTCCGGAATTCTAGTCTCTAGAGTGGCACCAGTGGCGCTTTTTGACAATGGAAACAAGTGTCGACAGTGTAGGTATAGTCGATGGAAACGACAATACGGTGAGAACGCAAAATCGATAAGGCGTTAAAGTATAAACGTAATCTGAGATAAGAAGGTAGAATCTCCCTTTGAAAATTTTTAACAGCTGAAGATTACATTTACCGATACGATTCATTCCAGTAACTCTATCGACGCTTCAACAATTTACAATTAACGATATAATTTACAAACTGACTATATCGGTTCCATCGACTGTACAAAGTGTTCTATCATATAACAGGTCTGTAAGTATGCTTTCTATTACGCGAGAAAGGTTTCGTTCGGTTTCGTTGAGGGTTTCGCTCAGTTGAGCCCGATTACAGCTGATTTTCAGGCTGGAACGCTTCACGTGCGATCCGAGAGAATCGTTTCCTGTTTATTCCATTCGTTTAAGGAGAATTTCGCACGAGATAATGATTGGTCCTCTGTCCATGACGACTCACGGGAAGCGAAACGGAACTACAACAGAAGTACGTTAATTATGTTGTTTCGACGTCGTCTTACGTATTAGTATAATCTGTACACCGAGAAGATTAATATATTTTCTATAATCGTAAACCACGCGGAGTGTTCACTAATAAACGGTACGAATGGTAATTCTGCGTGTGAAGGTAGATCGAAGAAAAGTCGCTTTTGACAAGCAACAAAACACAGGTCATAGCAATTTATAGCTGGAAATGCTATTTTTGTGAACTGGAATGTTGGACAGCTGCAAAATCGATTTTCTAGAAAAAAGTTTCGTAATGTTGCGTTTGTTATTGGACACCCTGTACATTCTGTAGTATAGAAGGTATAAAAGATGTATCGTCGCTCGTACCGTTAATGATTTATCACTTCGTGTATTAGAGTATAATGTCGCTATTATATAGTGTTTATGTAAATTATGTCTTATTAATAAAGAGATAGATGTTAGCTGTCCTCAGATTCTTTCTTCGAGAACGCTTAATATTCACTTCGTCTGTAACTCTTAAGATTGCATAACCTGCAACATAAGTAAATTCCGCCTCGGAGGTTATCTTACCAGATCTTCGTCAATACTTTTTTTTAAATAGCATTTTTTTAATAGCATCATTTAACACGTCGTGCTTCCTGGTCATGTGTCACCTTCATGTCACGTCGATGATAGACGTAACTCGAGGCTGAGTATTGCATAAACTTCCGAAAAGAAACGATGCCGGAAATATAATTATGAACGAAACCATATTCGAAGAGAATGAAATTTTGAAAAATTCCGATCTGAGTACGTTTGTCTAATGATATTTTTAGATTCCAGAGTTATCGAGGTAATGGAATTAAAAAGAAAGTACGCTTTGGATCGTTTTGCACAGAAAATTATTAAAACGCATAACAGCTTTAAACTTCAATCCTGTTTTATCTACCGAGACATTACTGTTCTACCTTATCTACCAACAATTCTTGAAGGTAAGAAGTAGATGACGCTGAGAATACTTTTTCAACTGATTCGTTGCAGTCGGTAAAAGTAGATTCGATTTATTGCATGCATGTGATGGCTTTGAAAATTCGTAGATACACATAAAAAGAAATGATTCCTTACCACGTTTAATTGAACATTTTTATTCGAAGAAACTTAAAATGTTAATTTAGACATTACGTAGCATTTTATAAAAAACAACATAACGTACAATATTTCTAACGAAAGTAACAGTAAATCCGGTAAAAATAATCGTACATCAAGTCACCCATCCCTTTTTCGAGGTTAGATTAAAGTACTGATTGAAATGTAATACAATTGGTACGCCATTGTTGATAGACAATGAAGCTGTAGAATAGCATTAAATCTGGATGGGTCACGCAACCAAGGAATTATCAGTTAACGGTCTTACTTTTTGCGAGCCATTGGGAATGCGATTCCAAAGGGATGTATATCGTGCGCAGCTGTTCCTTTAGGGTGAGAGGGGTTAGGAAAGAGGGGCTTTCAGGAACGTGTAACGTTTTCTTCAATCCCTGACCAAATAGAGAACTTGCACAACAATTTTTCCCACTTCACTTTCACACGTGCATTTCACGTTGAATAGAAAGATATATCGTCAAAGTAGAAATATAATACACGAAAACTTTTACTGTCCTTTACATATTACGTATTGCACGTTTCCTTTCAACTTTTTAACATACTATTTTATAAATAGAACAATTTTCATTTGCATTTGATTTTTATCTACTTCGCATCGCAACTAAAACTTCGCAAATCAGTTTTTTGCTTGCGGAACCACACTACAAAAATGACCGAAACTGTGAATTTTTTTCCCGCAAAATTTGAAAAGACAGTTCCTGCCAACCAATCGCGAGTTAATACGCAAAAGTAGATACTCCTTATTGGCAGAAATCTTTTGTCTCGATACACGATCATCTCCGATATCGAGAATCGAAATCACGCACGACCCGCCAATCAGAGAACGTGTTACAGCTGAACGGATATTACGAAGTATTCCAAGATTTTGTGGACATCTTCCCAATCTAATTGCTACGAAATACTAATTACACGATTTGCTTTCTAGAATTTTGCGAGTCTTGTTGAAAAATCAAATAAATGTTTAAGAACCCTTAGAACCCTTGAAATAGTCGTCCCTGAGACCGTTCTGCCATTACTGGTGGGGGCAAAGAGGGGCTGGCTCGTACCGGCGGCGCCTGCAGTGACCGGCTGGTGTCCGTGAGCACCCGGGTGTCGAAAACGTGGACACGAGAAGTCGTAAGAGTCAAAGCGGTGCTTTCCCTGGAAAAGCTCGACGTGTTAGGGCATTGGTGATTTGCCCGTATCTCGTTGTCCGAAAGAAATATCGTATCTGTCTCGTCGGTCAGTCGCGCGCGCCTCTATCTTGATCCGTCTGCCGCCTCTCTCTCTCTCTCTCTCTCTCTCTCTCTCTCTCTCTCTCTCTCTCTCCGTCGTCTGTCTCTGTTCAACCAACAGGAGACAGATCGGTGTGCGGTGTGACAGCGATCGACTGGCTACGACCCTGCACGGACAACCCTTGCGCTCTTTTTTTTCAAGGCTCACGCGGTTTTCCATGTCAACGACACGCGCGCTTCTGCCAAGGCCAGCGTGCTACGCCCCGCACAAAGCAGCCTCCACCGTCACCGTCGCCGTCGCCGTCTCCGCCGTTAAACGACCGCTCCACGTACTCGTGCCCGTCGTCGACGGTCTGTTGTTGTCTGTGTCGCATCGCTGGTCAGACTTCTGTTCGTCGTTTTTGTGGTCATCGCCTCGACTCGGGTTAGACTCGAGGAAGGCCGGCGAGCATCCAAGTTCGTCCAGGGCTATTACCAGGGTGAAGAGAAGGAGATACGGCAGCGTCGCTCACGCCAACCTGAGATGAGCGACCATGGCTGCATACACTTGAATAATTTCAAAGCAGCCAAGGGTATCCAGCCGTACAAAGTGATACACTCTTATTTCGTGACCAGCACGTCGACCGAGGCACGCGTAAGAAAGGTGCGACTATCTTTTTCTTGCGTGATCCGTGGTCAAGGTTCTGTCTTTGTCTCTTTCTCTTTCTCTCGCTTTCGCCTTTTACACTATGTTGTAGCGTTCGTCCGTCCGTCCGTCCGTTTGTCTGTTTCTCTTTTCCCATTCTGTATAGCCCTACTACGTATCGTGTTCGTATCGATACATGATAAAAATGAAGCGAATTAGAAAAATGAGAAATCACTGCGACACCGAGGACCTTCGTAATCTCGGAAGTTGCAAGATCATTCTCTCTCTTTGTCGTCGTCGTCTCTAGTGCCACTCTCGGGATCTTGAGTCACGGAGTATGCAAATTCTACCCAGAATGACAATCGGATTTGCAAACACGCGCATATTGGTTACGAGGCTTGAATGCACAACGTGCTGCTTTTTTTTCGTATGTTCATTCATGTTTCTAGGTGTGAGACGGCCGCCGGCAAATCTCGTCTCTCACCGTGCTACACACCTAAGAAATTACTCTTTGTTCGCCTTCTGAATATAACGGTTGATCTTGAATATCAGTCTCCATCTGTCTATTACTCGGAAGTATTAAAGAAGAAATTGATGCATATGTTGCAAAGAGACTTATCGAATTCGTAACAGCGATTTGTTCTCCGTTCCTTTCTCTTTCTTTTCAACTGTCTTTATCATCGTTGACTTGATGTTTCGATTACCGTAACATGAAACCGTTTGACTCGAAAGTAACCGTCACTTTTAATAATAATTTAGAATGGTATTGTCGCAACACTAAACGAAAGCAATTGCACAGATAATCGTGGTAATTGCGATAGACGATAATGAAAACTGTGATGATGATATCATTTATTTGAGTTCGTACTGTTACTTTCATGGACGGTTCATGTGTGAAGATGGATTTAAAAATGGCCGCCGTATACGATTACTCTGTCGGTACGAAGTTCTGATAGATTTGTTGCTCACGTAAAGTAACGGTATTGCAGATTTATGATTCTGCTGGTACCGTTGATCCAATGAATATTTGCATCGGCCTATAGTTCGATGTAATTATGTTTCGTTAAATAAATCTTTGTATCCTACATTATGTATGAAGTAAAATATATATGATAGCACTCCCCATCTTTCCTGAGACAGTACTTTTATCTAATCTATATAAATGCGTTATTATTATACAATTTTGTATCTTTTATTATATCTCGTACAATAAATAAATAATTTTTATGTTTTTAGGCTGTTAGCTGTTTATGTCACACATGTAAATCATACAAAGACCGCCTTCATTCTTGTCTTCACTGTATATTCTTTGGCTGCTATGCAAAAGGTCATATACAGGAACATGCAAAGACAAAAAAGCATTTTTTAGGTAATTATATATACATACATACGTATATATATATATATATATTCCATCATATATCTATATTACAGAGTATATATGTATAATGTGTGTATTTTATGTTGCAGCTGTTGACCTTTGTTATGGAAATATTTTGTGCTTCCAATGTGGGGATTATGTATACGATAGGGAATTATTGGCAGTTGCTAAGGCACAGTGGAGTGAATCTGCAAAATCATTGAGCTTTGGAGAATTCTATAGAGCATGGGAACCGACACAAATAGAGGCAGAATTATTGAGAAAACATCCGCGCAGACGGCGTGTGGTCGAAAATTCCACCATAGGTAGAACTGCAGAACTTATATATTTGAATGTATTTTCGAACGTATATTAATCGATATGTCACGTTTTTAGGTCTAAGAGGACTCATAAATCTTGGAAGTACATGTTTCATGAACTGTATTGTACAGGCGCTCATACACACGCCGCTATTACGAGATTATTTTCTTGCTGACCGTCATCACTGCCCACAGCCGACACGCTGCCTGGTCTGTGAAGTGTCCCATCTTTTTCAGGAATTTTACTCCGGTAGCAAAGCACCACTGACGCTTCATAAGCTTCTCCATTTGATCTGGACACACGCCAGACATTTAGCAGGTTACGAACAGCAGGATGCCCATGAATTCTTTATAGCTACACTCGACGTTTTGCATAGGCATTGCGAAGCGGCGCCAATCTTAGTGAAGGATAATCCACATCACTGTAACTGTATCATCGATCAAATCTTTACCGGCGGGCTTCAAAGTGATGTAGTTTGTCAGGCGTGCAAGTACGAGCCAAATGCACCGTATAATATGTATTAACGTATTTTCTATCCTGATAGATCCGCAAGTTGACGTAATATTTTTTTTTAGCGGAGTGTCCACTACGATAGACCCGTTCTGGGATATATCTTTGGATTTGGGTCCAGCGGCTAGCGCATCGGGTTCCGATAGTTCTGGTCCTCCTACCTCATTATTAGATTGCCTAGAAAGGTTCACACGTGCAGAGCATTTGGGATCTAGCGCAAAAATAAAGTGTAGTAATTGTCAAACGTATCAAGAGAGCACGAAGCAATTGACGATGAAGCAACTCCCTATTGTGGCCAGTTTTCACTTAAAACGATTCGAGCACTCTAGCATTCAGGACAAGAAGATTTCCACGTTCATCTCGTTTCCAGAACAATTGGACATGACTCCTTTCATGTCGCACAGACGAAACGGTAACAACAATAGTGCAATGATGGATGGACTGCCAAAGAATGGGGAAGACATGACATTCAGCGACAATAGATATTCTTTGTTCGCGGTGATAAATCACGAAGGATCTTTGGAGACTGGACACTATACTGCCTTCATACGGCAGCAAAGAGATCAATGGTTTAAATGTGACGATCATTTGATTACGAGGGCACGATTAAAAGATGTTTTGACCAGCGAAGGGTGAGTTCATGGCACTGGTCACAGTGCCATCAGTATCATTACCAAGGATCCAGTGAAATAACCTTTCCTTTTCAGGTATCTTCTTTTTTATCATAAACAAATTTTGGAGTACGGTCGAAACACCAAGGTGTAAAACGTTAGATTGTGTAATTAATTTATTTATCACGACGAATCATGGGCGGTAGACTTAAGTTTTGTTTAGTATCTTAAAGAAAAGAAAGGAAAAGAAAACAAAGAAACAGAAAAGAACTGTGTGAACAGTTATATCTGTTCTAAAATTTGTTTCGTACGTTTCATCCGACTCACGTCGGACATGCATGATCTGTACAACAGAAAACATAAAAGAATAAAGAAACGCAGGCCTCAAAAAACGAAATTTCGAACTCTCGTTTTGAAATGACACCATTAGAAAGTGCTACGGACAGAACATAGTTTCGAAGAAGTTAGAGGAGAGAATTTAATGAACGACTATACTATTACGCTTTGATCGTGCGATTAAGAAACGAAGGATAAAATAGAAATTAATCACTGTTAAAAAAAAATAGTCAAGATCGACCGGATGTCACTTTGTTAGTGTAGATGTTTGTCGTGATTGTTACGATACTTTTAACTGTCAATTTTTCGGAGAGTACGAATGTAAAGAAATCGTGTTCGTTCTACTATTATATTTTACTTTTCTTTCCACCGTTATGTTAATTGTGTTTGACGAAATCTAGGCTGACGCACACGGCGATCGATATCCCTGTTCGTGTCCTAAAGTAACATAAGTGTAGTTTTAAGATTAGCTCAATTTTTTTAAATGACCGATCGCATTTTTGTATATCGCTGACTGTTGTTATATTCCTGCCCTGACACTTGTATACATGAGACACCAAGGATGGATCACACGATTTAGAATATTTTATCAATTCTTCTCCTTCTCTACTGAAATTCTGCTCTAAATAATATGTTTCATCTTACGCAACTTTTAAATTAAGAAATCTTTTTATTCATACGGCTCGTCGTGTCAGCCATCCTTTGGTGAATCAATTTTGTACAAACGAAATAACATATAGCAAGAGAGAAAAAAAAAAAGAAAAAAGAAACTGAGTGTTTGACAACTTTTCTCTTTGGCTATCCTTTCTTTTGAAAATGCGGTAATTTAGAATCTAACGAGTTTCGTGTGAAACAAAATGACGAAACTGTTAAGAAGAATCATGCGTAGCGTTTTCAATAATTTTATGTTTATTTTCTATACGACAGTCCCTGCAAAAAAGTGCCAAGTGTTCATTGCACTTGTAGTTTGTAATCGTGTGCTTATCATTATTATAGTTCCCTATTTTATAATGGGTTTCTATTCTTGTGTTCATTAACGAAATATTTGTGCAATGTTTCCATGAAACGTTAGCCTCGAATAATTTTCGGTATTCAACCAACATCTGAGAAAGAATCATCGCAGACACACTTTGTATCGTGTTTATTATTTGATGTATCGATCACGAATGAATGACTTGTACGTTTTGCGTACGTAACGAGAATATACGATCCCTTAATGAACTGTTAAAACCACTAAGAGACTTTGATGTGTAATTATGTATGAAAGCAAGAAAAAGGAAAACAGGAAAAATAGGCGTCGTGAAATTTTATCGACTCGTACTCATTGCAACAACTGCATTGTGCGCCAATTCTCACGACGTTGCATGACCAATAATACTATACGTTTGGAAGTTCGTATTACGCGTGCAGTTGTAACATTTTGTATAAGGCTGAAGTAAACGTATACAAAAATAAAGTTATATTTCGTCGAGACACTGCTTCTAATTGATCCACCCCCTTCCTAATTTCCATGCGTCAGTCTGTGTCTGATTAAAATACAAACTTTGCTATCAACTTCGTCAGATGCTGTATAGATAATCTTTTATTAGATATGATGCAATTTTCTTACGATGAAACCATGTGTATATAACACAGACGTGGTGAAATTCATTTTTTTATGTTTAATTCTTAATTAGAACGTAGCGATTGGGCATAATTTCGAGTAAATTTTCTGCGTAAATTGCGTAGACTGTTCAGGTTCAAATTTAAATTAGGATGCGCGCGTTTCGATTAAATTATAGAGCAAATTCAAGGGGTAAGGAATGAAAGTATTTGAGGCAATATAATGGAGATTAAAAATTAATTTCTAGTAATCTTTCTAGCCAGAAGTTTTAATTATAATCTGATACTGTATTCCCTTTAATTAACGTTGTAGTAATGGAGGAAAGATGGACGCCTTGACGTTTGGCTCGCACAGGTAAACGACTGATCGGTTCACACAAATTTCCGAAAAACTTCCAATTAACTGAGTGTCGCGATATACAACTTTTTTTCTTTTATAGGCTAGTTCACTTAGATCTCAAGGGAGCTCCGCCACGAGTTTGTTATTTCGAAAAGGTACGTTACCTGAATAAACAACCGTATTGTTTACACATTGTATCTCTTATCTGACAACAGGGTCATCGAATGATAATTACAATGACACTTTGGTTTTTCATCACCTGTTGGATGTTACTAACTGATACATTTTCATTTACAAGAAACATCTGTAATATTCTCATGTCCTAGAACGAATTCGTATGCGTTATACCGCACTACTTTCGTATACGTAAACGTTTATGTATATAGTTGACACTGTATATAATATTCTGCAGATGTATTTCTTATATATATTTTGCTTCTCCATAAAGCATTGAGCAATAGTTTAATTATTAAAGCCTTCTAATTAATACTGCAGTTGTTCCCACTGTTAAGGACATGGGGTGCTACTGGACTCCTCCTAGAATGGGAAGATACATTCCCATACAATCGAGAGCTTTCTCACATAGGAAGCAATGGATTAAGCAGTTTAAGCAATGGATATACAGTTCAGGAGGCTAGGCATATCTTACAAATTGCAGGAGATTGTGGCTTAGCAGTTGTTCCTTTAGTACAAACATTTGGTCATATGGAGGTATATAATATTAGGATAGAATTGTATATTATAGACTTTTAGAAGCTAATGTAAAAATGATTGCAGTTTGTTTTGAAACATGATGAATGGAGGTCCTTGAGAGAAGTGGAGTATTTTCCAAGCTCAATATGTCCATCTAATCCAAGAACATTGCCTTTGGTAAAGTCCTTGATTCAACAAATAGTTAGTTTCCATCCAGATATACAGTATTTGCACATAGGTGCAGATGAGGTCTGGCATTTAGGTCTTTGCTCAGTTTGTATGAAACGTGCTGCTGCTAGCAAATATGGAAAACCATCTCTGTACCTGGAACATGTTTTGGCTATTGCACAATATGTACAAGAAACATATCCCTATTTAAAGATTATTGTATGGGATGATATGTTAAGATCAATAGATTTACAAGTTTTGAATGGTATTTTGATAATTCATTTATGCTATCCCATGTCACATAATGTTTCATAAAAATACTTCCTGTAATTTTCAGATCATTACATTGGCAAGTATGTAGAACCTATGATTTGGCACTATAATCCTAGAGATAACTTTGCTCTACCTCATGGTAAGATTTTCAATGCTTAATGCTATCAGTATTGGTATTTCAGTATTTTAAGGCTACATAGTATTGTTTATCAGGACTGTGGGATAAATACACTACAGTTTTTCCACATATTTGGGCAGCTACTGCATTTAAAGGTGCTACTGGATCTTCTCAACATGTACCAATTGTAAGATACCATATAAGCAATCATGAAAAATGGTTAGAAGAATTAAACGTGCACGTGAATAAAGTTCATGAATTTCGGGGAACGGCTTTTACGGGATGGTCGAGGTACGTCTTTTTTCTTCTTCGTACTTAAACCAATAGCTTAATCGGCTTCTGATTTTAGGTATGATCATTATGCGACGTTGTGCGAATTGTTGCCTACAGCTATACCATCATTAGCATTATGCTTGAAAGTCTGGCTTCATGGTTACTCTGAACAAATTCATAATCAAGTGGCTAAAAGTTTAGGATATATAGATCATCCCTTGCATATAACACCACAACCTAGACCTGCACCAATACCCAGCAACTTACTTTTTCCCGGATGGCAGGTTGCAGTAGGCGTAGAATGGTTTTTAAATTTTAGAGCTAAATATCATAATATTGTTTCTAGTGAACAGTAAGTATACATTATATGTTAGAGAAGGAGTTCTGCTAGAAGTTTTTTTTTTTGTTACCAATGCTTGTTTTGCAGAATCTCTACATGGATGAACCCGTGGCAAATCGCAAATAATTATACAAATCCTATGCAGTTAGAAAACCTAGTACCTGCTTTTACAGAGTAAGTTGATTTGTTTTCATAGTTATTTAGATAAAAATCGTATGATATTGAATATATTTCTTGCAGACTACTACTAGAATTATCTTCTTTAGAAGGATATTTAAGATTTCAAATGGAGAGCATTTTCTTTCCATCGATGATCGACGAATGGCTAGGTACAAATATTCAGCCCATGAAGGGGAAACTTATGGAATTAAAGCAAACCACAGAGAATCAAATCAAGCTGAATAGTCGAGTTTAGTGCTTTAACTAAGTATTTCGCAGAATTTCTGCTTTAGATCTCAATGACCAACTCCAACATAAGTGACGAGTACGAAACGATAGGCTGATGAACAAAATACGAAGAAATTTAGTAAATTGTACAATTTTATCTTGTAAGTAGGTGTAGCGAAGTAAAAATAGATTTTAAAAAGTGATACCGTGTATACGATACGCGCACGGTATATAATTTTGTAAGAGAAGGAACTATTATTTTAATACTTGGCTTAGGGACGAATGAACTTGTGACAATGATTTTGTCACCGAGCTTTGTCATTTTGTGAGCTGTTCTGTGATACTTGGCTATGAAAGGATTATCGTAATGTAATCAAGCTCAATAATCATATTTCTTGGTTATTGTGCTTACTACATATGCTTCTAACTATCTGCGTTTGTTATAACCATAGTACGTGCAAATATTTTTTGTACTCCTTTTAGAAGTATCTCTTTGGAAAACTTTCGAAAATTATATTGATCTGCTGTAAAAAGATTTTATGCAATATCTAATATATTTCATCGAGTCTTTTTTATCACTATACTTCTAAACTAGTCTAAGGTAGTTGTTTTTGGTGTATATTCATCGATGTAATTGTATTATATATAAAACGTAGCGACAGATTGAACATAGATGAAGCGTAAATAAAACTACTAGCAATTAATAATGAATTCGAATAAATATCTCTATGTATGTACACGACAAATACGGAACTTATGATTTTATTTTGTACGATTCGGGTTACTTTAAAAATATTCTTCATTAAGAAACAGAAAAGTATATTTTGCGTTCGTTTTTCACTTTTTTCTGCGATCCATGGCCATTGTGTAATTGTATCGATGGTTGAGTGAAAAAAAAGAAATGAATGTAAATGCAGCGACTGTTAAAAGGCAAACGTTTGTTAGAAAATTCTTTTTCTTAATTTATTTTGCATGATACCTTCAGCTAAGCAAGTGAAATAACGGCAAGTGTTATAAGAAGAACATGCCAAAAATTAGAGAGTATAATGAAAAAGAATCTTTGAAATTGGACGAATGTTTTAAAGAATCTTTGGTACGCATTAGACCTTACATTTTAGGACTAACGTCCACAGAAAGTGCACATTTGTGTAGAGTTTGGCTTCATAAATTATATGCTGCTTCTTCGCAACGTCGTCTAAGAAATGAATATCTCGTGGAATTATGGAGGCAACTGAAGACAGGTCGTTTGGGAGGAATTTTCAGTAGACCTCCTCCTAATGGATATCTTTTACCACTACCTAAGTCGTATCATATGGTACCTATATTTGGATTTATAAAATTTATCCTAATTAAAGAGTAATTAATGTGTAACACAGGTCTGTATTAGTTCATCTGTCAGTGAACCATCGGATTATGTCATGAGATCTCACCGTAGTTTTATAAAACCAAACGCAAAGTGTATGCAACATCAACGAAGCAAAGCATTATCAAAACATCGTATGCCACCAGACGTCACTAATATGAGTCAATGCTTGCACGCTGTTAATCTTTCACCGACTGTTCGTTTTCACGATCAAAGTATAGTAAAAGAAAGTCGATTAAGCATTTATGAGCGGTGTACGAATACATTAAGTACTATTCCTACAGAACTACAGGCTGAAAATGATTATCTAAGGAACCAATTGGCAGAATACTCAGAGAATCGTAATAGGAACGTGGATGATTATTTGTCTGCAAGTATTAGCCAACTAACTACCGATGTCACTACTTTAAAAGCTAAGTTAGTATATCGTTAAGTATACTTTCGATCAAGCAAAAGATTTAAAGTGATTATAAATTATTAAAGGCTGACTGAGACGCAAAAGTTGAAGTACTCTATGGAAGAAAGCTACAAAGAGGCTGTTCAAGAGTATCATCTCGCAGTAGTAGAGCAATTCACTGAATTGAAACAGCAGTTAAATGAGACTCTACTAAAAAACGAGGCATTGGAGAACAGTGTGGCTGTAATAGCTAAAAAGATGGAAGAAATCACCCATGGTAAGGTAAGAAGTAGAAACTTTGCTCGTAAAACGAGAAATACAAAGGATATATTGAAGGATGAGGAAACTAAAGCAATGGAACATCGATGGACGGATAAAATAAAAACGATATGTGAACGATTTGACTCGTTTACCAGGGAGAAGAATAAAGAATTACAATTGAAGCAAGACTTGCTTGATAAGAGAGATTCAGAAATGTGGAAACAGGATGCAGGAAGAAAAGAGGAGATCGAATTGTTCACTAATAAAATTCACGATTTAGAAACGAAATTAGAAATGAAGATCAGAGATGTATTTTTTTTTCTGAATTGTAGAGCATTGAAATATTCTTATATTTAAGAACATTATTGAACAGCACTGTGCTCCTTTCAGGAGGATAAATTACAGGAAATGATAGTCGGGCAATATGCAATAATGAAGGAAGAATTTAACAAAATGAGGAATGAAATGGATTGCGAAACTCAAAAACAAAATCAAGATTTAGTATCGAAGGTATCTGCTTTGAAGAAGGCTGTAGTAAAGCTTGAAAAATCAAAAGAGAAACTTGAGTACGACTATGAAAAGAAATTATCTCACATAATCAAGGTACTAATTCAATTAAGATGTCGCATTACGATGAACTATCGTTCTACTTTGTGTATTATACCATAGAATAAAGATATGGAAATAAAGGCCTTGCGGTTACGGCTACAGGAACAGAAAAATGAACTGTGCACGTCTTTAAGTACAAAAAAGCAAAGCGAAATGAACAACGTTGTCTCCACATTGGAAAAACGGTATAGAACGCTTTTGGCGGAAACAGAAGTAATGTCAGAAACTCAAACCCAAGAATATCTCAGGGTATCGTGCATGAGAAATTTTCATTGAAAGTAAGATAATATACGGGTATAGTATTAATAAAAATCATTAAAAATTCTAGAAAATAGCTATTTTAGAAGATCAAGTACTTAATATGAAGAAGTGTTGACTCGAGCTTATAGAGTAGTGAATCGTACATATGTAGCTTGTAGCACATTATAACTATAATTGTACATTTTGTTTCTTCTTAATAAAGGGTATACAAATAATGAAAATGTGTTTTAAATTTTCGTGGTACATAAAGTATGTACGTAATTTAAGAACAGATGGCATTACGTGTTAAATTTACGATGACGACAGATGGCATTAGGTGTTTAAATTGCTATGGCAACATGCTTGTCAACAATGTTTTGAGCTGTCAAATATAACGCAAAATTCTTTTTTACCTATAATTGAAATTGGAACGATTAAAAAATAATGTCACTTTATTTCGACACGCGTGTACAAAATCCAGAAACAGCTTCGATAAGTACTCACTCGATTTGGCACGCCAGTTATCCTTTGCTGGCTGTTGCCGCGTATTCTCAGGATAAGGGTGGTTTTGTAACAATTTATGATGATCAGGGAGAGCCTATTCAGGATGTCGAGTCACCTAGACATTCAGTAGTTCAGGTGACTGCTATTGGATGGCATCCAGAGAGAAGGTGGCTTGCTGCAGGATGGGAAAGTGGAGAACTGAGGGTTTGTATTTACTTCAGTGTTATAAAAATACTTTAGAACAATGGAAGCAAGCGCATATTTATGTTAATCATTATTTAGGTATGGCCAGGTGACACTGGTAGCAATGAATTCAACTTGGTAGTCACTCCACATCGTGATCCCATTACAATTCTACAATGGAGCCAGCATGGAGGAAGATTAGTATCTGCAGATTCAGCTGGATCTATAATTGGCTGGAAAATTGACTCAAGGGGCCAATTATTAATGACATTTCATCATGAACTGAAAGATTCCTTTGCACAAATAGTATTCAAAACTATTCCACCAAAAACAATGATGGATATAAAGTATTTATACAGTTGACACATTTTGTTAATTGTTTATTAACACTTGAGGAATATCTATTGTTTTTAGCGGATTAGCAAAGGCAGCAGTTGCAGGGGATGAACGAGCATTAGATATGTTCAGCACTTGGCGTCCCAGGACAGCCGCGCCGACAACAGTTTTAACTCAAAGAGATAATCATGCTTTTTATATTGGCACTATTAGTGGTGTGATATACTTTGTTGATAATCAGGGACAATGTACAGAAATTCTTAGTACAAACGGCGCGGCATTGCAATTCCTGTTGCACCATCAAACTAGAGATTCTTTAATTATTATGACAGAGGGTTTAAATATAGGGCATTTTCAAGCAGACCCAATTACCGGGCGACTCACCGAACTAACGAAAGTAATTGAATTCTTATTTTCTATTCGTTTCACTCTTAATACAATACATTTATAGGAATTATTTTTTTGTTAGGTGAAACTTAGCAGTAGATTTGATGTATCAAGAACTGGCCCATCAATGTGTTGGGCTGGTGCAAACACTTTAGCGATTCTTACAGGAGAATTGGGTGTTCGTTGTTGGGATCTTCATACCGGCGATAGCTACGTATTGACTCCGCCAGACTCAACTACTGGAAATATCGCTATGCCACAAGAAATTTGTACAAGCATATCTTTTTGTAAAAACAACGGTACTTTGGCTGCTGGAACAAACTTGGGAACAATCTATCTATGGAAACGCAAAGTTGAACTGGACAGTGATGAAAATATCTGGCCAAATGTACCAGAATCTTGCAGCATCCACGGAACAGTAAAACAGCTTACATGGGGCGCTAGTTTACTAAGAAGTCCGCTTCTAGCCGTGAATTGTATCACTAACGTTTTCATATTACACCAACAACCAATGTGCGCTACCTACAACGATGGCGTTTGCGCTAGTCAAGTCAGTCCCACACAGATCTTAATGGAAACGGACGAATTGAGTCACATACTGAAAATTGACATTCAAGTACAAGTTGTCGCTGTTAACAAAGAATACATCGCAGTTTCTTCTGGTAGACAAGTGGTGATCTATAGAATCCACAAGGATACTACTTTAAACACTACAGTAATTACCAGTTTCAGTTGTGACACCGAGAAACTATTGATTTATGATCACACTCTGATTATTTTGACTCCCGCAGTAATACAATTACGATCAATGGAGGGCACAGTTATTCAGATGTTACCCGCGTTACCAGAAGAAGGTGAACCAATTACTATGGACCTAACTAGACAGTATTTAACAGTTGCGTCTCTGAATGGTACCTTAAAAATCTGGGATTTGAGCAAACGAGAGGCAAAGTTGCATACCAGAGCAATGCCAACTTACGAAGCAATCAGCGACTTTGCTGAAATCATTGAAGCAAGATGCAATACAGATTGTCGTTGCGTGTCCATCACCGTCGCCATGACAAACTTGATGCCTAGTTCGATTCTTTACGTCTGGGATATAGAAAGTGATCAGATACACGAATTCGATTTTGCAAAGTCTAACGACATAGATGAAGAGGACAATTCTTTGGCTGTAAAATGTAGAGGAAGATTGGTCACTGCTCATTGTTGGGACGTAGAAGATCCTAGACTACTAGTATGTCGTGCTCAAAAATTAGATGCAAGAGACTCGAAGCATTCCTCGAAGCAAAATAACGAAAATGAGTACGATGTTTCAAAGGTTAGCGTGGTTTTGGTATCAGTATTTGCTACATCGGATCATGGAATTGTCGTACAGGACATAAAACCGATAAAAGATGAGAACTGTAGAGTGTTGGGTGTCCATGCCCCGTATATCATCATTCTGAACTCTGAAAAAGTTGCAGAGAGAATGAGTAAAGTAAGAAAATTACTCATGAGAGACTTTGAAGAACTTGGTGAGTGTGATGTTGCCACGAAGAAAGCTGTATTGGATTTCAGTTTCCATATTAGCGTTGCTAACATGGACGAGGCCTTCAAGGCGATAAAGTCCATCAAGAACGAAGGTATCTGGAAGAGTCTGGCCCGAATGTGCGTAAAAACGAAGCAATTAAACATGGGTCTGTTGTGTTTGGGTCATACGAAACAGGCCAGAGCTGCCAGAGCTCTCAGAGAAGCTATGCAAGATGACAGTTTAAATCTGGAAGTCAAAGTGGGAGTATTAGCTGTTGAGTTGGGATTGTATAACGATGCTGAACGTCTTTTCCGCGAAGGAGAACGGTTAGACTTGTTGGGCAAACTTCTCGAAGCTCGTAACAAATTCAAAGAAGCTATAGAGTTGGCTAAAAATGAAAATAAAATTCGCGAGAAGACGAGTTACTATAATTACGCGAAAACTCTCGAGCAAGAGGGAAAAATTACAGAAGCTATAGAGATGTATACCAAAGCGGAGTGTTACAGGTTCGAGGTACCAAGGATGCTTCTAGCAATACCCAGAGAACTACAAACTTATCTGAATAATTCTGAGGATCCAGAGATTAAAAATTGGCACGCTCAGTACATTGAATCAACAGGAGACATGGAGGGAGCTTTACAGTTGTACGAACAGGCCAAGAATACTTTAGCAATGACAAGATTACTGTGTTATTTTGGCAGAGAAGACGAAGTCAGCGACTTGGTATCGCAAACGAATCATGCTGCCTCTGCGTATCACCTAGCTGCACATTACGAGTCGAAGAACAATATGGCCCAGGCTATTCATTTCTACACTATCGCTAAAGCCTACACGAATGCAATTCGTTTATGTAAAGAGCACGATATGTTTGAGGAATTATGGCCTTTAGCTATACTGGCTCCAAGGCAGTCGCAGATAGATGTTGCAAAGTACTACGAAGAGAACGATCAACCGGATAAAGCAGTCTTGTTATACCATAAAGCTGGTCTTTTACACAAGGCTATGGATATCGCCTTCAAAACGAAACAATACAGTGCCTTACAGCTCATTACCATGGATGTCAACGCGGATTCTGACCCTGCCTTGATAGAGAAGTGTGCAGATTACTTTGTTCAAAATGATCAGATCGAGAAGGCAGTGGACTTGTTCGCCACAGGAAAAAAATACTTGGAAGCACTGGAACTGATACAGAAACACAATATTCAGTTATCCGAGGATCTGGCAGAAAAGATGACACTGGACAAAGTCGACAACGACGTGGAACATGAGAAAAAGAGAATCTCTATTTTGGAAAGGATAGGGGAAATTGCATTTGAACAAGGGAACTATCATTTAGCAACAAAGAAATTTACTCAAGCTGGTAATAAGCTGAGAGCCATGAAGGCATTGCTGAAATCTGGTGATACAGAGAAGATCTGCTTCTTTGCTCAAGTTTCTAGACAGCGTGAGATCTACATAATGGCTGGAAATTACCTACAATCGTTAGATTGGCAGAATCAACCAGAAGTACTGAAGAATATTATCAATTTTTATTCGAAAGGAAAAGCAATGGATCTGTTAGCCAATTTCTACGTTGCTTGTGCACAAGTTGAAATCGACGAGTTTCAGAATTATGAGAAAGCTTTAGATGCTCTGAATCAAGCTAGTAGATGTCTTGCTAAAGTGGTTACTCCAAGAGATCCCGATATTCACAGGAGATCTGTCGAATTGGTGAATAACAGAATAGCAATTATCAAGCGGTATTTAGATATCGTAAAGTATGTTTATTTATTTGATGCATAATAAAAAAGAATCAAGGAGGACAGTTGTTAAAATGTTGTTAATTATTGTTGCAGGTTATTCGATAGGGGTGAAACTGGTATCGCGATGCAACAGGTACGCCAATTGCTAGATACTTATGGATCAGACTTGGAGCAATCGGTTCGTCGTGGTGATTTGTTCTCGACTATCACTCAGCATTATCTCAATGCTGGCGAAACTGACCAAGCACGCGCCACCATAAAGGAATTGAAGCGTTTAGTACCTGGAATTAATCTGACTTATTATTACAACGTGGAAGTATTGGAGGCGCTCGGTTTTAAGAGGATCCTTCAACGAGAAGAAAGTTCCGACAAGGAAGATGATATCGAAGAATTGTTAGGTGAATAGATGATAAACACCGAGTTAACGTAATCCGTCCAGAAGTGTGATTTGTAGACATTAAGTACATAGGATAGTTTGTATAATTCTGTAATTTGAAAAATATAACACGGGTTCTCGATCCATTAACATCAAGTTATTTTTCATACCTGTGAAACATTTAGAAAAAACCACTGTTTAATGTTTATTAATCAGACTTATACATAAACAGCCTTACTCCTTAATGTTTTAATACGTCCTAGAAAATAAGAGTTTAAACACAATTTTTAATATGGACAGTTATCAGTAACTCGTTCGCTGCCAATACCTTTTGTTAGACACAAAATAAATAAACGAATTACACAGACGATAGAATAAGACGAAATAAAAAAAAAAAAAACACGGACACTGAATAATGCAAGTGTCGTGATCATCGAATAAAAAAGAAAGAGTCAAACTGGCGTGTCCTGTCTGTTTCTGCTAAAAACATTTTTTTCCGTGGGGTCCAGAGTCTTCCCCTTGGAATCACTTGATTTTTTTTTTTTTACCCTATCTTGGTCCGACGCTAAAAGTTCCATCCACAATACAGTTTTTTTTTATTTCTCAAATTTTTCATCGCTCTAAACGAAGCAACAGGGTGTCAAGAACGTCTCAAACGCACCATCTAGACAGATTCATTCAAACAGCTTTCTCCGGTGTCGGTTTTTTGCATGGCGACGCAACAACCTCTGTCTCTGGCTCGTCAGCTTTTCGTTTCTTTCGCACCAAATGTGATATATCACTAGCAGGTTTCTGAACTTTCGCCGCAGAATCGCCCTCACCACTTGGACCAGCACCATTCGAACAACTGCCAGCTACTTTACTCTTGATACCCTCTATGACGAGTTTACAGGCCTCTTGCTTGAAATCCTTCATATCGGATATCTTCTCCTGGATCTCTGGCAACAGCTCTTTAAGTTCCTGAATTTCCCCTTCCACGGTGTAGAAGGAATCGTCCGTTTTTGGTGGTTCTTTTACCTGTTCTAGCTCTTTGATACGCGCCTCCAACAACTCTGTCGCTTTGTGAAACTCTTCGATACTGGCGTCGAATTCGTTGCCTAGAGAATGAGCTAACGCCAGCTGGTAGTGGATCTCGGCTATTGCCCTTGGTTCCCGCGGTTCAATCTGCTGCAATAGCTCCAGACAGCTGTGCAGGTCGTTCAAAGCACCCTGGAAGTTCCCTCCCTCCATGGCCACCTCTCCTAGGAGTCGATAAGCGTCGGCTAGCATCTTCCAACCGGGTTGACCACGTTTCAAAAGCACCAACTTCGCCAGCTCCAGTACCTCCCAGGCCACCTTTAATTTAAGGGAAAACAGTTGTCCTATTTTATAAGTTAACAATTTCTCGAACGCAAGATTACTTTAACATCATTCAAATTACTCCGATAAATTTCTCAACAACGTACAAATACAACAATCTCCATACCTGCAAATTGTTCACTTCATCCTCTTCGTCGTCTTTCGCCGTATTCTCTCCGTCATCCTCTCCATTCTCTTTCGCAACCCCGTTCTGTTCCGTCGAGGAAGATGGACCATTAGCGTGACTGGTATCCTTACTAGAACCAGCCGTGGAATTCTCCTCTTCCTTCTGCTTCTCTGCTACCTGTTCCTCTTTCTTACCATCCTCGCTCTTCTCAGACTTCACTTTTTCCGTCTCTTTCTTCTCGCTACTCGACTCTACCTTCTCCTCTTTCTTCTCAGTTTCCGGTTTCGCGGGTTCCTGCTCGCTCTTCGAATCCTCATCTTTATCCTCAGCCTCCTCTTTCGCCTCACCGGCTGCTGCTGCTCCATTGTCCGTCTGCTCTTCATCCTCCTCCTCCTCCTTCTCGTCTACGTTGCTCAGTTTCTCATCTTCACCCTCCTCTTCGTCCTCCTCGTCGTCCTCTTCAGCTTCCTCTGTGCCTGGCACTCCACCACCCAACACTCCAGCCTCCTCTCTGGCCAGACCGAGGAGGGCACGGCCGTAAAGCAAATAAGGCTCACCCAGCTCATCTGCCGTGTCGCCGTGCTTATCAACCAACAGCTGGCAGGCTTGCGCCAACGCGGTCACAGCCATGGTGTAATCCCTGACTAACAGGTGCCGTCTCCCGTGGGATATCGCCGTAGCGGGGTCGGTGAAGGCTGCGCTCTCCGCGACGTCGGCCATCTGCAACCAGATAAACACATTGTTTTTTTAGTTACCCTTGTTACTTAGCTTCTGTTATTTCGTCGTGTAATCTCGTTGAAATTTACGACAAAGTTTCTGTGAAATATTTCCATAATAGATCGACGTAAGTATTAAACACGACAGCTCGGTTCTTACAATTAGAAACGAACGAGGAACCCCGCAGTAGTCTAACACGTTCACTGTTCGCTGAATCACGTATGACTCACGACACTTTCAACTCGTCTACATGTACGATAATTAAATTAACATTGTAAAAAAGACGAGATAATTTATCTCTTTTTTTGTCATACTACTTGGATAGCGAACGTGTCAATCATGTGTCCGTTCTACAATCAGAGAGATCTCGAATGCAAATGGATCATTCATCGTGCCTTTAACAATAGCATCGCGCAACTGTTGCTTAACAATTCTTTCGGTGTCTTAACTAATCGACAATTCGATCAGAATCGATGGTCAAGCCTCTGGGCTGTACGAAAATACTCTTTGATCATCCGCCCACGGGATACGTCGGTCCCTCGTCGCTCTAATGCAGTGATGTAATTAAAACGTGTACAGAATATCCCGCCTACGCTTGATACGTGTCGTGCTTTCTCTGCTGATCATATCTAACGCAGTAACAGTGCTTTCCATCCTGCGCGAACGTGAACGCTGATTCAATAAATGCGAAACACAGCCGTGTACGAATTAAACTAGACCGTTGTCGTTGAACGGGCGCGCGACACACAACAGCTCGAACAACACGTTTCGAGCTAAGAGAGCGGCATTTAAATGCCCGTCGAGTATCGCGTTAACATTAGAACAATCGCGAGCAGCTCGTTAAGAGACAATCGCTGTTTCCTGACTCCGCTGCGAATAGCCTACTAACAAGCGAACATCTCCGAGCCTGCTCTCTATCTCTCTCTTTTTCGCCCCCTTTTAAACGGACCTCCCGTAAAATTATGCAGCCAGTTCCCCAGTTCACGTTAACGACACGAGACTTTTAACGATCCACTAAATCTTCGTAATGTGAGAAGCCGTAGGATTCTTATTTTATACAGGGTTGAACTCTGCGTAACGCGATCACCATAAATTAATCCGCGGTTAGCGACTTTCGATCGTTTCTTTTATGCCGCATAATATGGGTCAAAGAGAACCTTCAGGTGATTACAGAGATTTGTCTCGTATCGATACGAACGTGAATACGCAGAGAAGAAAGTCGGAAAGTTACGCTGTAAAACACGCTGTAATATCAAAGACATGCAACACGGTCCGCCAATTCCTGAATCCATCGACATGAATCCAAAGCAATAATCTTCTACCCTACTTGGTTCAACTCGTAAAGCGAATGCCGCGATCACACACTCGAGAGATCCAATAATAATAAGACGTAATAGATCACAGGTTGTTAAAACTTCCGCAAGCCACGCTGGCAACGTTCAAGAAGCATTCATATAATATCCTTCAGTGGCCGTTACACCCGGAGAGCTTGACTCAGGAGTCTAACGACTCACAGAGAGACCTATCCGGTATCAGCGCGTCGTTAACTCCCTAACGAAGCCAACTGAACAATGGAGTTGAACCCCATTATACATAAGAAAGCTCATTCGAGGATCACACCGGGAAGAATAGCGTTTCTAACAATCCACTGGCGAATAATACCGCCAAAAAGGCCCTTGTTATTATCATCGATAAACCAAAAGAACAATCCAAGAGAGAATGACTAAGCGAAGAGAAGAAACAAAGAAGAGGAGGAAGAAGGAGAAGAAGAAGAGAAGATGCGGGTGAAGAAGGGCGAGAAACAGGCGGCAGGGGCATAGAGAGAGAGAGAGAGAGAGAGAGAGAGAGAAGCAGAAGAGGTGGGTTGTCCGCAGCATCCGGGTGGGGTGGTCGGTTGGGTGGTACGTCGGTCGATTTTCGTGCGCTTCGACGCAGAACGGAGAGGGCGTGCTGGTCGTTTGCCCCCTGGAGAGTCGTGTGGTGGAGAGTCGCCGAAAACACACGGGCTTCGGGGGTGTCGATTGGTCAGTGCGTAACTGGCAACTGTCGGTGCGGTGTGCGGCTTTCAGTGGGCTGCCAGCGGTCGCCCTGGGCACCACCTGCATGGATGGAGCCTACCCGTGTACCCAGGGCCCCTGGTCCACGTCTCATTTTCCTCGTCGCCACGCTGGCTCTCACTTTCGCAGGTAATCCACGCAACGACGATCCTCACACACACACTCTCTCTCTCTCTATCTCTCACTCGGTTCTTCTATCTCTTTCTCCTCTTTCACTCCGTGTGGCTCGTTCGACGTGTTTTTGTTTAGACCGGCTTCTTCTCCACGGAGATAATCGGAGATAAACTGGTTTATTTCAGTCTCTCTGGTATTCCGAACGTGCGTCGAAAAGACGCCGAAGGTGTTTCTTCCTCTCTTCGGTTTGGCAGACCTACTTGCTACGTGTGATCAGCTGATCATCCGAAGGACCGCGTCTCTTGCCCGTTCTCTCCGTATTATCCATAAATGCGTCGTGTGGATCGAGGATACGTTTTCTCGTCGTGTTTGTTTTCCTGGTGTGTAACAGAATTGTACGGTGTATAAAGGTTCTTCGTGAACGTTAGACGGATTTCAAGGAATACCTGGACGAAATTACCTACGCACGCTGATTAAGTGGAGGAATTAAGTGTCGAGGAAGTGGAGCACGTGGATATAAGAACGATCAGAGAGATGAGAACGTCGCATTACGAAGCCTCCAGTTCGCCGTAGATAACTGCACCAATCCTCGTCGTTTCCGAGTAATCGTGTCAACTGGCCTGCAGCAAACGATGCAATCTAACAGAACGATCTATAAAAATGTAGGCTGTTTTAACCATGTACGTTATCCTGTGTGTACCAGAAGCTCGTCACACCGCACACATAGATACCATGTGACTTCTTCCAATATATAACTTTCTACGAGTTCATTCGATCGCTCTTCCAACAGTCTGTACATTCCATTAAACTTCTGCCTCTGGCAGGCTAGAGCTAGCTACCTTCCAGCAGAAGGGTCAGCAACCACCGGTTGAATTCATTGCACTGTGTACTTTTTTTCACCCAGGAAGAGGGCATGGTCACTCGAGAGAAGTGCTGCTCCTGTGCTCTATTACGATCGAGGACCTCTCGCCGCCGGATTTCTTATGCAATAAAATTGCTTCGTAGCACAGTGGTCTCTGGCTGTGACGCGAGAGAGCTAAGACCTCGAGTAGCGTCTCCTCGTTTATTTCCCTTTAAATCTCCTCTCGATGGTGATCGGCGATCCTTTCTCGTTGTCGGAAGCCCGTTGAAGCGGCGCTGAATCTCCTCTGTCTGGTCAAACACCCGGCTTGATAATTTATCCACCGACTCCTCCTCTCTCTTTCTCGCGAATTTCTTTCCTGAGAGATGCCTGAAAGAGCTTTTGAATTAGCTTCGGAACGAGGAAAAAGAAGGGCGCCTGAGCGGCGTTGAAATAATATTCAAAAGGCTCGCGACAGAAGAAGTCTTTGTCGTCGCTGTTCCATTATTACCATGCACACTGCCAGAGGGTTGATCAACGACTTATAAAGACTTCAAATAACCAGGCCACTGAGGCACAAAGAAGACCTCCAGACACCGAGAGAGAACATGTCGATACTTCTTTCTTTTTACCGAGGGAATCCTGTTATGCTTTTGTTCCAGCGACCGGATTGTTGTGCAGTGCCATAATGTCGGATCACTGGGAGGAAGTTGGCTGGGATAAGGAGGCTTTGACCCACGCTAATGTCACTCTCACGTGGTACTTGGACGGTCAGGTGGCGATGCTCGAGCCTGGTCCAGGACACAGGAAACATCATTCAGGCAGACGACGTACATTCCTCGTCCCGATGTACGGCGGTATCTGGATCATGTGTGTCTCACTCGCTGGTAAGCGTACAATTCCATCGCCTAAACCGCGAACACAACAGTCTAAAATCGTTCGAAACTTGTACGAATTCTTCTGGATTACGTGTACCATCGGCTGGAAGTACCAACTTGTTCGATTCACACGTGAATTTCACTTTGATCTTCCGTAAATCGAAACTGTGTCACGATGTTACTGTCGGAAATATTTTGCACAATTTTCCAAGATTCGTCGATCAGATTCGATAAGCTCCGAGGGAGTAAAACAGTTTAAGGATCGTTTCTCAAGGCGCCCGTTTGTCGGTGACGCGGAAAATCGATTTTGCAGCATGAATTTTCAATGATACAGGTGTGTACACACCTTTTCGCGTAATCGTCCTGGCGATTCGTCGTGTGAGTGTGTTCTATACGTGGATACCACCTTGACTCTGACCAACGTTTATCGATCGCTCGATTGCGATCTGAAACACAGTGCCCCGTCTGAAAAGGCATGCCGTGACCGTGAAGATCTCCCGATGTTTCTTAGTCGAAAGTTCGTGCCCATCACTTTCTCCCTGTCAGGCACGGCTTAAACGTCGAGAAACCAGAAATCAGCGATAAATCTTGTTCGATCGATAACAACACCGATCCCTCTCTGTTCGCTTTTTCGCTTCGTAATTTTCTTCCACAATTAAGAAATAACTCTTGATTGAGATATCGCATCTTCTTAGAGATAATCTTGCAACGAATTAGAAAACAGATTTTTTTTCTTCCGTGAAAGGAGAAGATTAGAATCGTCTTATCGTCCGGGGAAAACGTGCAAAGTACCGTTGATAATCTAAACGTTGGCTGTTTATATTGTTTTTTTTTTCTTTATCAGAGAAAACGTTCCAACGAAAGTGTCACTTGTGTTACACGACTTTCTAAACCGTTTACCTCTATTTTTACCAGCTAATTGCGATAATATCTCTTGATTACTTATTTTCTCTTTAGAGGCGGTATTTAGAGAAACATTTTTCCGATTACTATCGCTCGATGAATATATGTATTACCAGCTTGTTGGAATATTTATTCTGTGCTTGTTACTTTTATTCGTTATCCTGGCTAAACGTCGTTTAACGCTACTATTTATAACACTTTCCACAGTCACCCTGTGGTGTAATCTTATTCTACGAGATTCCAAGCACCGATGTAGTTTTATAAAATCCAAGGAAACTGGGTCGTTTTTCCCGAGGAGAATAGACAAAGTGTCCCAGAAAAAGTCAATCGCGGAAAAGTACGAGAGGGTGTGACGCAGAGGCAAACAAGAATACTGTCTACCATAGGAGTGTGGCTTGCAAATATTCGATACGTATTTTTTTATATTGGCAATTATTAAGTGTAGAGATTAATTCGTGGCCTTCGTTACCTGGATTCATTATTTAAAAAAAAAAAAAAAAAAAAAAAAAAAGAAAAGTACGATACGATCATCTAGGCTAACGACATAATTTCGTGAAGAAGAAAATCATTCGACTATTCTCTCCCTCGTGAATATCTCCGTGTCTTTGAATACAAAGGGGGATAATTAGTTTTCTCTGTCTGCAGAATCAACAATTTCATTATTAATTTCTACGATTGCGCTCCGTAACGAGCGACGCAATTATTTCGCGTTTCGTGAAATGCTTCGTTAACGGGGGCGTTCTCGTTAAACAGAAAATTCCCTCGAATTTTTCATCTTCCCTTTTCGTCACTTCGTCATTTCTACCACGAGGGGAACATTGTTACGCGACGCAACGAGACCGTTTTTCCCTTCGTCCTGTTTTCCAACGACGTTTCCTGATAATCGATGGTCGGTCGTTTAATTGAAAAAATTCCGCTGTCGGTAATCGCAACTTCAACGTTTCTGCAACACTTTTCTCCGGCTCGCGTCTTTTCCCGACCGCGTGGGCGGCCAGTCACAGTCGATTGTACAACTCTGAACGTTTAATCTTCTCGTCCCATCGGGCACACGATGTAAAAACACGGACCTTGCAATTGCTCGTGTTTCTCGTCGTCCACCAAGTTTCCACTACCACAAACGTGGATTATAAAAGTGTACAGGCGAATATTAAAGCCGAGCGAAGAAAGTTGATGGACGGTATAAAAATGAACAGCTCTCCTCTTCGTTAGGCGAGATGAACTTGACCTTCCGCGTACATATTATCGTGCTTCTGTAATTTGCTCGTTCGATTCTTTTTGGAGAACTTCCCTCTGATGGTTCCTGGTCACGCCAAGCACCAAGCGTTCCCGCTCTACACACGTTCCTCCCTTCTCTTTCGTGCATTCGTTCCTCGTAAAAATCAACCTAAAACTACGAACTCGTAAATTCTCTAGCTATTTTGACTACTGCTGCGATACTGCTCTCACGCAATTTACCTGAATTTTCTCTTCTTTTTTTTATAAATAGAAGAAGACCGTTGGAATTCTTTGCAAACACCATGGGATATAGAGAGTAGTTGACAGAATTTCACGTTTAATCAGCGTGGATTAAGGGTGAAATACATTAATGCATGTACAGGCTCGTGAACAAGCAACCTAGACCCCGTGAACTTGGGTCGATCTATTTCTGCCTCAGGATTTATTGTTACTCAATTCTCCAAGTTTCTGCGACCTCGACGGCCTTCCTCCTATCCACCCGACTTCCTGACATTTCACGGAAATCCATGTTCAAGTTCATCCTCTCGAGCCAGCCGATAGTATTCGGAATCTGACTGAGAATCTCACGCTCCAGCTATTCCTAACGCTTAATCTGACTACCCGTCGATCGTATCGAGCTAATTGGTAACACGCAAACACGTGTAAACTACCCTTTAACAATGCGGGGAAAAAGTTTCATCGTTTCCCCTCGAATTCAGGCTAATGGAGCTGTGTGTATTCTCGTTTAGTTTCAATTAAAAAATTCGTTCTCCTACACGTTTCCACTTTTATCATAACGTTAATTTCTCACTAAAAATACCGTTTTCTTTCGCGGAATTGTCGCGAATTTATTGCAAAATTCCAACTAAGTTACTCCGTTGAAAATTTCTAAGGAGAGATTTGTTCCAATTTTTACGGCTTTTTATCGCGGAAACACGAGGCTAAATGTTTCTAAGCTTTTCATCGAAATTCCAGGGGTTTTACAGAAATCGTTTAATTAAAGACTGAGGAAAGACGGCGATGAAAGTGGAAACGTGGGAAACTCACACGTTCCGCGAGAGTTTTGTTTTGGTGTGGTGCTGCGCGCGCGGGCAGCGTTAAAACGACGTAATTTCTTCCTATTTCCTTTTTTCTCTCTTCTTTCTCACTTCTCGCGTTTCAGAGGAGGAAATACGACTACTGGGTCAGGTAGGTTTTCCGCAAGAGAGGTGCATTAACTACTTGACGCCCGACGAAGCACACGAGGAGATCCGTGTCGCCTGGCAGAATCGTGAGTACAGCACGACGTTTCCTTTTCTTCCGTAATTGCTCTCGTGATCACCGTCCCTCGAGTAACTTCTATTTACGGCGACTGAAAATTCAATCGATACAACACTGTGATTTTCAATTATTCAAACATTCAGGTCAAGTATGCTTGATTGTTGAAATTTTACAATTTTACAAAAAACGATTCAGTTTCCTTGATTTTTTTAACGACTCGTTTCTCCCCGTTCGTTATTTCGCTTAATATCCAAAGTGGAAACTGTTCTTTCTTCTATTCTCAGGGATGCAGAACTTGAGTATCTCCTGTTCCCTAGTCTGCCTGATAATCCTTGGAACCGCCGTCCTGATCGGATTTTTTGGACTGTGCAGGCATCAAATATCGGCGGTCCTCATCACAGGCGTGATGTATCTTCTAGCAGGTGAGTCTGGTCAATTAAAAAAAAAAAAAAAGCCAAAAATCGACGTCTTCGTTCGTGGTGGTAATCGCATTAGTCGAACAAACTTCCTCCGTGTGGTGCATTTCGTGGTCTCGGTGATCTGGTCGACCGCAGGGGTTTCTAAGCGCTTTCAAAGTCGACCGCAGAACAAGCTGTTCCGTTGCAAGTGCCCAAGAGTCCATTGTTACGAAGTTTCAAAACTGTAAATCACGTCTAAATCAGGATGAATAAACGAGCATTCGTTTGGTCGAAAATGAGAAACAAGGTGTGAAGAAGAAAAGTACAAAAGAGATAATCATCGGGTAGCACAGCAGCATCCCAAATTACATTCTTCCCATTTAACTCTGAATAATAAAGGTGTTTTCTTATTCCGCGAGAGAAAGAGAGAGAGAGAGAGAGAGAGAGAGAGAGAGAGAGAGAGAGAGAGCTTCCCTCTTGGCGCCGACGCGATAAGGGCAAATACCTCTTATCTCTGATAAGACTTCCTCAAATACTCCAGAATCCAGTGGTTTTCTCAAATGTGTACATAAAGTCTGTTCATTCGGTTAACGTTTGAAAATAATTTCAGCCACGTTCGCGTTGTTCACCCTGACGATCATCCACTTCAAGAGGGCCCAGGATCGCGGTGCCAGGATACTGGACGGCCCTGAGGATGGTGTGATCGGTGGACCGGTTCCACGTAACGTTCTCAAGGCCAGACGATTCAACAGCTCCTGGAGCATGGACTTCGGATGGGGAGGCGTCACGCTCTGCGCCCTCGCCTCGGTCGCGTGGATCTTGCTCAGCAAAATAATGCGTTTCAGCCCCATAGCCGCTATGATTGCGTAGCAGTGGGAGGCCTTCGAGGTCTAAGGTCGTTTCCAACAGTTCTGATAGAGCGTTTCGATGTCGTCGGCCCTTTCAGCGTGCTCCAAACGGAGGAAGGGTGTGATTGTTCGTCCATAATGGGAACCGGGTCAGCCGGAGTCGATTGTGAAGTTTCTGTTTGTTCTAAGTAGAAAGTGAGTCAGCTTGATGGCTTGGCAGCTCAATAGCAGGAACTGTTTGGTGAGCTGTGGAATTTTCACTGTGTAACAAGCAATCAATTTTCTGTGAAATTCTTGTTCGCAGCCTGCAAATGCAAGGAAGTGGTTTTCACGTTTAGAGGGTAATCAATCACTTGGAGAACAGGGTACGACATTGAGACACATTTTGAGAGTATATTTTTCAGAAATGTTTGAAACACACTTGAAAATGACCACCTCGAAGGCAGTTTGTTATTTCAACAGGTAACATGTTGTTGCATCTTGTTTGTCAACCTTGTCCAACCTATCTTGGAAGGGTATATAAGGCATGACAAGTTATACGGGGAGGGCCAGTTTTTGGCTGTCTCTCAGAATGCAACTTTTTGTACAATTTACCAAATAATATCTAGTCTCTGACAAAGAAAACATACACAAACGAGTGGAGAACTATATGGGGAAGAGGGTTGGACAGGATTTTCCTTTCTAAATTCTAAAGAAATTTTAAGATGATACAACTTATACATCTTCGAGTTTTTGAGCAGTTGAAATTTTGCATGGATTCATGCCCTACTGGAATTACTCTAAGGCCCTGTTTTCATATAGATCTTCACAATGAAGTAAAATATTTACAGATGCATGGATAATGAGATAATGTGTAGGAGGAAAGTAAGCTTTCTGGACTGAAGGAGCATTATTCTATGAAAAGTAGAACAGAGTACACGTTTACCTCAGTTTTGATTTGCAGTCAGATTAGTCAATTAATGTAAAAATAAAGAACAACCTTACTGGTTCTAGTCTGTCTCTTTAGACACACTTTTAATAATCTTCTAACTTGGTCCTTTTTTATACAGCTGCAATAGGTACATTTGGGTTTACGTAACACTTGATTTGAAATCAAAGTAATTTTGTGTGTTTTAGAAGCTGGGACAATATTTGTTGAACTTTGCTTGAGAAATTTAAATACAGAGTGTAATGTAACATAGATGCCTATAGTATAATTCGATCGCCTTATAATTAGAAAGATAAGCATGTTTGTAATATGCATAGCATAGCATTAAACTTGTTCGAGCCAATACAAGCAACGATAAGTGTGTTTGCAAGAAGAATTTAGCTTTTGCTACGACTTGTTACAGCGAAAAAGAGGAATTATGCCAACAAAATGTATCATATACAAAGGATTGTGAATTGCAATTCGTCCATTAAGATTTAAGGAAAAAATAAAGATGCTTCGAGTGAAAGCATCTATTATACTCGGAGATGAAGTTTTGCTAGTTCAATGATAAAATGTGAAAGTTAAATATGCTTGCAAAACTTCTCTCCGAGTGTTTATTTAAATGAAACGCATTTTTCTGATAATATTTTCTTGATTGTCATATTTTTTACCTGACCCTTGTTATTTGTTATATTGGAATTAATGTATCATGAATGCAATAAAAAGAATAAGCTACGTATAAATAACAGATACCCTTGTCTTCTCATTGTAATCCTTAATTATTTAAAATTATCTGCAGTTTATCTTGCATTGTTTATACAACAAACTATTTCATATAACAGAGCGTCCTACATACTTTATAGCTTCCATAACCTACATGATACTGCACAACTGAAAAATTTTTATTTCGTGCAAAGGAAGGTTATGTCTCGCGCAAACAATCTTTGCAAAAATATGGATCTCCATGAACAAACATAAGCACGCACACAACGCTAGTTCTGTGCGATACGAAGACTCGAATACGGAACACGTGACCGGTCGTTATAAGTGTATGTAACGCGGGATATGCTATACATTACATTCTATACACATGCACCTATCAACACGTCACATTTGCTCACGGATTCAAACAGATTATATTTTTTGTGGTGGTAAACAACAAAGGTAGTACAGGCGTGAGCTCATTGTACTCAAGAATATACGTATAAAAATAAACTACGCGTTACGCTCGATTTCGTTCGATAAAATTGTCTCAACGTGAGCAACCTTAATTTACGGATGAAACATACGTGAGTGATATCCTTATTCGTAACATTTGTCGATTTGTAAGGACAAGTTCGAAAAGGAACACAAAGCGTGTGGAATACAAAGAAAATGCACTTACCTCGATTTCGTTCGATTTACTGGACGTTTGACGGTTTTTTAACAACGGACACGCTTTCACTATGCTTCCTAGGAGTTGCACGCAATGTTCTGGATACCACAAACTTTACTTTAACAGTTACAAGCAGATTTATGTACAGAGACCAAAGGAAATTTAACGGAACGACCGTTATACCAAACAACGGTTTATTACCGGCACGCGTGCAACTTGTACGAGCGTCAAGCACAACATGAGCCCAATAATTCAACCTGTACAAGTGTGAACGGAACTTTTTACTGCGCACGCGTACTCATTTTACCGCCATTTCTTGATTTCGGCGGGAACTGTTAATTTCACAAATATAATATTTTCATACGAACAAAATTTTGAAGTAAATTCATATTTAACGCAGTTTTTAATGCAGTAATATTTATTATTATGGTTTGGATAATTAGAATATTATACGTTTATTCATTTATTTCGTGTAGATTCTAAGCAACGATTATCGAAACGATGCTCATTCGATATATCGAGAAAGACATAGTATAATTTGAAATTTAGAAATTAAAATTTGTATTATTTTCGTTATGGTTATTATAAAAGATAGAATATTTAGTTCTGAGGATTAAGAACACAGTGTTCGAATAAATAACGAGCAGATTAAAAAAATTTGTATAAATAATCAAGAATCATGATCGATTTGAATATTTGATATCGATATTCGCAACATGCGCAATGTAGACTTTTCAAATTGTTGCGCAGCTTCCATTATTTCGCACATATTCTGATCAGTGGCGTGTTGTGACGTGTCGTGTTGTGTTATTCCAAAGATTTGATGAATTGGTGAGTGCACACAATATATCAACTAGATATTCCTCTTTCAAAATAGTATTCAGTTAGCATAAGAATATCAATATTCTCAGTTATATTCCGTATAAAGATCAAGGTGCTCACGTTACGTATTCCCAATTTACGTATTTCCAAATTTCTTACGAAAAAGCGATTTTATCCAAAATTAACGTGTTTCTTATCGCATAATCGCTAAAAGACACGTTATTCGCGTCAATTTAGCATAAAATACGACGTTAGTACGTAACAGAGTTTGAAATTGTCACGAAACGAGATCGTTCAAATCGATCGATAAATTGTTTATAAATTATCGAAATATCGATAGTGGCCGCCATTTTGTTAACGTCAAAAAGTTCGGCGTCACTTAAAATATCAATTGTGTTCTTTCAGAGTGAAAAAGTGTGTTAAAAGTGTGTGTTTCAACGATCGAATGGTATCAAATCAATCGTCGTAACGATATCTCGTAAGTTGTATAAATTATCATCATTAGGAACACAGTTTTCGTCCAAAAAACACAAGAAATGTATCGCCAACGAAACACTTGTCCACAGTTTCAGGTATGGAAGCGTGTGTGAGCAGGGTCGAAGGACAAAATTGTTGCTGTTGTGAGTCACCGTGGATTGTTTGTCGCAGTAGGAACAAAAACGAAACGAAGCAGCTGCCGACTCGTCGAAAAAACAACGAATGTGAGTAACGTTTTTCTTATTGCTTGCATGTTGTGTTCTTTACTTTTGTAAATACGGTACAAGGACAAGCACATGTTAGAGAGTTGTACATGTATGTATATATTAAGAAATAAAATCCTACAAAAATTACGACCATAATAATTTGTTAAATGTGAAGAAAATTGAAGAGGAAATGCAACAACGAAAATTATAAAATTTAAGTGTATGTATGTACGTAGGAGCAACGATTAATTTAGTATATTAAATTACAAATATAAGTGTTTCTTTCAAACTATTTGAAGGAGCTCTTTTTTTTTTTTTTTCTTTTTGTGTGCAGTGAAAGCAACTGCAATTATTTTCAATTTTAAAAAATAGTAACTATTATGTTAAGATTAATTATCCAGTTATGTCTGATAATTGGTTTCGAATAAAATTGCCGTTATTCTCGATGGTACTTTTGATAGATCTTAGACGAATATTCGTTACGTTTCGATTACTGGCTTTGCTCCAGAATTCAATAGGTTTCTGTTTACATTTTAACTTCTCTCTGTCGATGTTTACGTTATCCTCAGCGTCGTCTTGGCAAGGCAGTTTTTTTTTACGTTCAGCGAATTGTTTCTCTTTAAGTTTTTCCATATTAGTACGCTTCTGTTCGTGGTAATTCTTCCAGCATCGCTGGAATTTCGTAAACACATCGTTCCAAATAATAAATTCTTCCACTGAAATAGAAGTAGATAAGAATTTTACAGTAGGATTCGTGTTTTCGTAGAAATTCAATTCCTACGATCTGATTGTCTGAAGGTGTTATCTTATTCAATGGATAAATAGAGCAATCGTTAGATGCATATTTAGTAGGTTAGTCTTTGTACCGTATAGAAGAAACGATACAAGTAGAAAAGAAGCTGCGGGAAGGGTAATGTTAGGTAGAAGCACATTAGCTAGGCTAAAAAGTGTCGGTCCTTCGCATAGAGCCATTCCTTTTATGGTGTTCACCAGCCATGGTAAATACAGATAAGGAACGTCATATTTATCGGCAAGTATCATCATTAGCGTAGTTATCAGTCCTGTAATTACATTCGCCACGAGTATTATGATCTTCAGATCTGCGAATAATGCAATATTTTATTCAATTTCGAATTTAAGCATTCAAGTTTCAAATTTAATAATTTGAAAATTAAAAAATTTGAAAGTTTGCAAATTTGAAAGTTTGAAAGTTTGCAAATTTGAAAATTTGAAAACTTGGAAATTTGAAAGTTTGCAAATTTGAAAATTTGAAAACTTGGAAATTTGAAAGTTTGCAAATTTGAAAATTTGGAAATTTGAAAGTTTGCAAATTTGAAAGTTTGCAAATTTGAAAGTTTGAAAGTTTGCAAATTTGAAAATTTGAAAACTTGGAAATTTGAAAGTTTGCAAATTTGAAAATTTGGAAATTTAAAAGTTTGCAAATTTGAAAGTTTGCAAATTTGAAAGTTTGCAAATTTGAAAGTTTGAAAGTTTGCAAATTTGAAAATTTGGAAATTTAAAAGTTTGCAAATTTGAAAATTTAGAAATTTGAAAATTTAAATTTCAAGTGTGAATCCAAGGGAGGAATTTACATTTGAATATCATTATAAATCTATAAATATTACTGATAAGAAACTTATTTTCCATTTCTGAGATTCTCTATAGTGCTCTACACATTTTCGAGAAAAGCCGTTCAATTTAAGATAGCGTTTCTGAACGAATCATCAGTTGCCTAATAATTTTAGTTAAATGCAACGTATTATTTAAGTGTTACTGTAATTTCGTCGGAAAAGGGCATTGAATGCCGCCGATTTGGTCATCGCATTCCCAAGGAGAGAACGGCCTCCTGCTTCCAAAACGATGCAACTTAAACAATGTGTTGCGAAACAAATCAGAGCTGCATACAGTGCCTCTACCTATGTTACGTGACATGATAAAAACGTTGATAAGTACGACGATAAAAAGGGTACAATACTCTATTGTGTCCATATGCAAATTTTATAACACTCTCATTTACCTTGGAAAATTTTCGTTTGTTACACTCTTTTCCAGTTTCCTTTTTGTCCTTCGTTTGCAAATAATCCAGACTTTTCTTTAATTTTAACACCATTGTTAGCTTTTTCATCTACTTATCAGTGCATGGTAAGTTTTTTTTTTTTGGTTATCAATAAATTAACGTGTTCCAGCAGTTTTTCAAATTGTGTATTTTAATAAACAAACGAAGTACAATTAGATAATCTGCAGTTTCAGGCACGTTATACATTTATTTTACAGTAGCAGGCAGAAGATTTTACAATAATTTTAATTGTACGAAATTCTTTTAATTGAAAATTTAGCGCGATTGTCTCGCTTGTCTGTGAAATAGACAAAATACTTGTAGCCAGTTGTGAACAGTTAGAACAGCTAGGAAAATCTCGTCGCGTTTCATATGGAGTCCGTCCAAAAACATTTTCACGCAGAATACGATGATCTCCACGATCATCACGCATAATTGCATTAGTAGCCAGGGTGTATGCAACATCGGGTATTCCTAGGAGAATTATCGTTTCGTTCGAAAATGTATATTAGAGAAAAAATTTCCTCGAAACACTTACTGTAATTGCGCCCAGCATGATTAGGGTGTAGTGCTCTATTCCGAGAATCGAAGTCATCAACTTTAGATCCCTTTCTACGTCCAGTGAGACTAATACGAGGGAAATTAATTATTGAACTATTTGACACATTAAAATGGGGAGAGATTGAAAATTTGGAAATTTCAAGGTTTGAAAATTTGAAGATTGGCAAATTTGAAAGATCGGAAATTTGGAAGTTTCGAAGCTTGAAAGTTTGATAATTTGCAAGTTTTCAAGTTTGGAAGGTTGAAAGTTTCGAAGTTTGGAAATTTCAAAGTTTCCAAGCTTGAAAGTTTGGAAATTTGAAAGCATGGAAATTTGAAAGCTAGGAAATTTGAAAGCTTGGAAACTTTAAAAATTTGAAAGTTTGGAAGATTGGAAGTTTGAAAATTTTTAAGTTTGAAAATTTGGAAGTTCGAAAGTTTCAAAGCTTGAAAGCATGGAAATTTGAAAACTAGGAAATTTGAAAGCTTGGAACTTTGAAAATTTGAAAGTTTGGAAGATTGGAAGTTTGAAAATTTGAAAACATGGAAATTTGAAAACTAGGAAATTTGAAAACTAGGAAATTTGAAAGCTTGGAACTTTGAAAATTTGAAAGTTTCAAAGCTTGAAAGTTTGAAAATTTGAAAGTTTGGAAGATTGGAAGTTTGAAAATTTGAAAGTTCGAAAGTTTGAAAGCTCGAAAGTTCGAAAGTTTTGAAAGTTTGAAAATTTGGAAGCTTGGAAGTTTGAAAGTTTGAAAATTCGAAATTTCAAAAATTTGTCAATTTGGATGTTTGAAAGTTTGAAAGTTCGAAAATTTGAAAATCCGACTTTAGATATAGTAACACACCACTCTCGCTGCTTCTCGAGTGCGACGATCTCCCAGGCATCTTGCAATTGATTATTCGAATAATATCGAACGCTGTAATCATCTAACAAGCACATAAACACTATAAATTCGATATCCCCGATAAATATATCGTGGTATTTAATGCAATCATATTCAATACTTGACGAACGAAATTGACAAGTTCACGAATCCTCATTTATCATTCTGACGCATCAGATTCGTGAACTCTCGTCGTTCTATTATGCAGAAACAATTAACGAGTATTACGATCGACTAACGGTCCCAATGAGGCCGAGCATGATCACGTAGATCGAATTTCCCATGATGTAATGGTCGCACAGGGTGCACGCCAACTGTCCAATTTGCTGAAAAATAATCAAACAAATTACCCACTTACATTTCACTATAATTCTATCCTAATCTCCAAAAAAAAAAAAAAAATAAGAAAACTATTAACTAAATATCCATTATGTTCGCTAATCTTTCGTCTACATCGAAATCTCATAATTCTTCTTCGCCAAATTTCACTTCGAAGTTAACCAAAAATATAATCACAACTTTTCCTATTCTTCTCCTTTTCAAATACACAATTGATTAATTTATAAAATCGTTCCTTTTTCAATCTCATCCACTCCACAATTACTTCCACGAAATCCCTTCAAAATTCCATCGTTTATTTCAATCACTTTCATTTGCATATGGAATAATGCAACGATGTCGAAAACATGCGTGCACACACACACACGCGCGCACGTGTGTTCACATACTCACCGAATTTTTGTTTCCAATCAACGTTCTCAGATTGGAGAGAATGGAGCGTTTGCGACGACGTGCCATTTTTTAAATTCCCGCGCGATCCTCATAGCCGAAACTCGACTCGATCATTCTCCCAAAAACCCGAGAAAATTCACCGAAAATTTCCTCCGAAAGGTTATAACAGCTTTACACTTTACAATTTCCCTTCGATAATCCACGCCTTTTGAACAATATGAATAACGTCATGGCACTCGGTGCACGCGATTCACTTCAGACTGTCCAGATTGATCTGTTCCCCGGAAATTCTAATTGGGGAGGAAGAAGTCTCACGATGAACGAGTATCCAAGTAAAATTCAATCGATCCACGACGAAGTGAGTTTTTCTTTTTTTAAAAAGTTACTCGACAATTTTCGATCTGCAAATTAAAAAAAAAACAGTTCCACTCGAAGTGATTAAAAACACTGGAATGATTTTCCAGGTGATCGATCATGGATTTCCTTCGCGAGCAATTCGAAACGAAGTGACTGTGAAACAGGAGAAAATTGGTCGTACGAGAAGTAGCGAAAACGAGATACTTGCAACTGGTCAAGCTTTATTACTGTCCGCTTGTGTGCTACTATTGTCTTATTATAGCGTTCGTTACGATAGAGCGGAGTATAGTATCTTGGAAAATGGCAAAATAGCCAGAGGTTATAGTAACAAGGCCGTGTTAACACTGGTTTTGGGCCATTCTGTTCTTTATTCTGTGAATTCTATGCTGGCTATTGGTATGCTTGTCTATTCTCTCGGTTCGGTGAGGAATTTCTCGGATTAGAATGTAATGAAAAAGTGCAATTTATTGTTTCTTCATTTTCTTTTTTATTTTATTCGATACATTTATCAGAAAAATCCATGGTGGAGTCTTCCAGCGATAGTTCTCTGTCTGGTTGATCTTGTGTACGACGTGAGCGCTGCCATAATCGCCATCTGGCTATTTTTCTCTCACTTGCCGCTGCTAACTGCCTTGCTTTTCACAGTTGGAATCATTCTGTTAATCAGTACGTTCTACCAAATCTTCGTACTTCCATTGTAGAATTTCTTCATCGTGAATTTTCCCATTTAGTCGGAGAAATTTGGATATGGATGGGCGTTCTCCATTTGTACGAGCAGAGAACGTTTAAATAGAAGAAAAATTTCACGGGGAAGAAAATTGAAGAACAAGATGGAAGATTAGTTTTTTTTCTTTTTTCTTGAAAAATTATACTTTATGAACTACGCTTGTACACTTTGTAATAAAATACATTCTTATATATATGTCAGTCATGTTACGTGCATCACTATACTCGAATAAACGACAGGACAATCGAAAGCATCCGTGGGACATTTTGGTTTCGAGTCGAGAATCCTGATTTCCGGGCAATAGTTCAATCTTGAGAAACAAAACGAAATAATTCGTCGATTAGTTGGAAGTTTCGTTCGATCAGCTTGAATTTTACCTTGGACAATATCTCTCCGTAGCTTCTTTCCACGTGTAGTTCTTGTTCTGATAGTTTCTCGATATTTCGTGGACAATGAAACCCATGAAAGCTTGGCAAGGTACCCCTGTTAATTGGATATCGTTCTCTGGCTCGACGGTAGCCATTTTGTCGGGCAAACATTCGTCTCTGTTACTGTCAATCGAATACACGCAATTTTTGTAGATCAGTTTCTTTTTAAATTATCAATTTTTTACGTTCGTCTCCTCTCACTTGCAAAGAAAGCTCTTCACAGTGTCCAAAGTGCAGAACATGTTCGGCCTCAGTGCAACTCCAGGCACGCTCCAAAGTAACTGCGCTCTGGCCGCCATTTCTAGCACCTTCTCGTCCAATATTTTCGCAATTTTCGATAATTTCGAGCTGTAAAATCGTTCTGTGAATTATTCGAATCATATGGAAATTGGTATTTAATTCGTACCCTCTGAAGAATTTATCGACCGACACGTCCATGTTCCTTATGTTTCCATTCTCGTGGGCCAATCGTTGCCTGAGCCTGTCTTCTGGAGTCAGCATAGGGGAACGATAGCTATTCGAATCATTCGATGCAGATTCCAGCCTCGTTCTATTAATAACAGGCTCGTTCGAGCTGGCCGTAATAGGCTCATCCTTCATCAAATTTATCAGATACACCTACGGTACAAATTTCCATTGTCATTCCTCCGAATGGTTGGTAAAATTCGGGATTTCCAGGTGGAAGGATTTACATTGAAATCGGGATGTCTTCGAGCCGCGGTCTCGATGTAGCAGAATTCCTTGGTGGACCAATTCTGGTTGGCCAGTTTGAAGAAGTACACGTTAGGCGAGGCTCCGAATCCTTCCAGGATTGGAGTTCCTTCTATTCTAAAATTTTCAATACTTAAGACGTTATTTCGCTACTTAGCAAATGAGACAGTGAGAAGGTAAAGTGACTCTAACCGCGTCGAATTAAATTTGTTAAATTTTTTTTATTTGTGAAGAGTTAAGCTCGACACTAAAATTGGAGGAATTTCAAAAAGTGGAGTTAATCATTTTGGCCTCTGAATGGGTCAATTAACGAGCGTTGGCATTCTGTTGCGAAAGAGAAGAAAAGAGTTACACTGTATACGTAAAAAAGGAAAGGGAACTGAAGTATAGTGGAAAAGAGGAAAAAAGAGTTACGCTGTATAAGTAAAAAAGGAAACTGAGGATTAAGATTAATAACTGATTAACATCAGAAATAGTGAAAGCGAGGAAGAATTTTCTCTAGAAAAATTGAACACAGCGCGATTGCGTAAACGTTACACGCTGGTTTTCATAATTTCCACGCGATAGTCGACGCGTCGAAAGATTATTCTAAAAGATGCGAGCGTTACGAAGAAAGTATGGCACCTGTTACCAACAACAGTGGGCACGCAAATGGCCACTGTGACGAAGATGAGGAAGACCAAGCTTGCTACGATCAGGCAGGCAGCCAGAAAAGCGAAGAACAGATCCGCCGGCCATTTTCGTAGCTGATTGACCACGCCTTTGATTATCGGCGTTTCATAATGCCTCTCGGTGAATCTCTCTGAGAACCTGGCGTGTTTGTCACCGTGATCGTTTGCGTAGAGGAGTGACACGTCCTCTCTAAACGGGTCTAGAAAATTTCAGGCAATGAAATACAGTCTAAAATACACTTTGCATAATGTTTGATTATTCATTCTGTGAAAATAGAGCTTCGAATGATATATCAATTGTAGAATATCGATAGGATGAAATTTGACAAATCTGGCGCCTTTCTAGTTTATTTGAACTACCCCATGAAAGATACAGAAGGTATTTTGGTCCGTGGCCAACCGCGTACTCGCTTGAAGCGTCTCCAAAATCGATTCCCTCGAAAATGGAGCTTCGTGGGTAAAAATCTGTTCCATTTACCATTCTACCGCTAAAAGAAACCTCGACAGAATGAATTTACTCTCGTTTATTCGTTAATTCACCGTTCGAATTGAATCTTTCGATCTGTTTTATCGGAAAGTCGATTCTTTTTTTCTTTGAGATTTTTCTAATTCGAAAGAAAATGATTTTTAACGATGCAGTAGTTGATGTAACAGTTTTTAAGGGGAATTTACTTGGATCACTTACCCCTCGTGTTCCGCATAACGTCTTCTACTTTCACACTGCTAATATTGTCCCCAAGTTCGGCCGTTTATGCTGTTAGTCCGATCCGCCAAGTCAGCATTTCGTAATGATTGGCCGTATTTAAATTGAGACACGAGGATTTTGCCAGAGCTACGGAGGTGAGCCGAGTCGCGCGGTTGGCATAATGTTCAAAGTGGAGCATCGAAAACCGTTTCGACCGAACGAATATATACTTACACGATATGGGGATCCTCGGTGTGGGGCAGACGGAAAAGGTTATCGTCTGGTGCTCGCTTGTTTCTCTCGATACACGGAACAGTTGATTGTCACGTGAAATTTTAAATCGTAGTTTTTTTGCCAATTTTTCTCTGGTGCGTGCCAATCTCTGTGACTCCGCGGAGATTTGAATGGTTTAACGGGAATTGGTCAATTTTTTTTGCTGGTTTTATCTCGGAGAACAGGATTTTCCAATTACGAAGCAACGAATTTCGAATTCAAATACTTTATGTTTTACTTGAAATTTAAAGAGATGAATTTTTCTACGTGAAATAGCTTAAGGAATTGAAATTTTCTACGTTACGACGGATGCTTCTTTTCTATTTTTAAGAACGGTGACAAATTGAGTCTGTTTGAAAACCGTACGAAATTACCGACTTTTGATTTTTTTATCAATCTTTCCAGATTTTCAAGCGTGCAAAGCTTGAAGAAGATTGAAAATGTGTAATTTCGTATGTTTCGAAAATTTGCATTCGCTGAACGAAATGAACCAAGTCCAGTTAAAAAAATACCTACCTTCCGTCGACTCTTCGTTTATTAAAATTGAATAATTGCACAAACGAAAGGGTAGCAAAGTGAATAAAAAACGAGTGTAAATAGGTTTCGAGTGGTCTTTATTACAAATAATATTTTCACAATTTACGCTAGAAGTCACGATGGCAGGTATCCATGTCGCTGAAGAACACTCGGATCTACCATTTCAACCGAGGTTCCCTCCGCTTAATTAATATCAGATAATTAATTCGATCTGACTCGCCCTCGAATCAAACAACCGAGAAATTTCACCAACTGGCTGTCGATTTCATGCAAACCTATTTTCTTTCTCTCTCTTTCTCGATCGATCGATAATGTCTTTTTCTATTCTGAACGTTTCTACGTATATAAAAACGCCGAGTTAGTGCTTAGAAATACCGTGTAAGCAATAAATATCAACGACGCTAATTTATTTCGACAGTGAAAACGCGCGTTACCTTCTTTCGCCGATAGAAAGTAAAACAAGGCACTTTTTCTTTTTGCACTAGAATCGTTACTCTGCTCTCTCTCTCTCTCTCTCTCTCTCTCTCTCTCTCTCACTCTCACTCTCTCACTCTCTTGGAAGTATAGTAATGTAGGATTTTCGGATCGACTCTCTGTCGTCGATAGACTTTCAAGTTTCCAGAATAATTGACGAGGAATTAATTAGAATTAGATTGGAAGTTCGTGGCTCTGGAAACTTTTCCGCTTGAACACTAGTGAAGTAATTAATTATCATCCGACGACTTTAGTCGATCATCGTTAAAACTTAACATTCTAGCATTTCGTTTGTACATTCTATATTTGCAAAAATATATCTTTCGTCGCTCTTTAACATCTAATCGATTGTTTTTTTTTTAATATCTAAATCTAACGAGCATGCCAAAAAAAAGACTTCGTAAGATTGAACAGTGTGTGTTTGTCGAGGTCTTTGAATTTCCTTGTAAACATGTGTAGATAAATTGATGATTAATCGCATGTCTCGTTCTTCAAATTTCTTCGAGAATATTTCTAACGAAGCTTCCCGGAATCTTGTTGCTTTTTTTTTTAAAAAAAAAAAAAAAAAAAAAAAAAAAGAAAGAAAACAGACGAATATCACTAATTTGATCGATTCTCTCTCGATAATTGCGCAGAGAAGCTTCGCGCGAACCGACCTGCGGTTTAGAGTGATTCGCAATCATCGTAATATAACGAATCAGAAGTTAATTGTGTATCCTATAATGTAGTTGGAAAAATTGCTACTACTCTGTGTCGACCTGTTCGTCGACACATTTTCTTTATACTCCTCTTCAACCCTCGAACACGATCAGCCAGAATCAATCAGGTATTTAGCGTGCTAATTTACTTTTTCAAATAGTTTCAACGGTGTATTACAACAGCGCCGAGTATAAGAACAGTTACAGGAGAATCGAAAATCAAGAAACACACTTAGAAAATTTCTCGGAGAACCCCTGACGCATGGCAACACGCCTAGCACATCAAAGATTCATTTTCCTCTTGTCGTCCCTTAGAATTCCGTGAAGAGACGCTTTTAAAAGGAAAATACGTCGGTGAACTAGCGTTTAAAACATTTGATCTAACTCTCGATCTGACGAAAATCCAGCTAAACCGAGTTGTACAGCAACACTGTGCATATCCGGATCAGCGAAAGGGTGAAAAAATCGAGACACCAGAGGAGAAAGCGCTCGAATTCCTACCTCACCCAGAAGAATTCACAAAGAGAAGTAAAAAAGAAAAAAAAAACCATGGCAGTGGTGCAACGTGAAACGTTGTATCTTTCAATTACCCAATCGCAATTCCGACATCGTTGATCGAGGGTTGAATAACCAACCGCGAATACCTTGTTTCGGAAGTAGAACGCTAGTTTCGACTGTACAACACGATTGCACTGGCACTTATTAGAAGCGGTGTACGTATGTTACATTCGGGAGAAAGGCACACTTTCCTCGTCATACGCTCGTGTAAGAGATCGCCGTCTGTTTTACCGTATTCTTCTCGTTGTATTTGCGAGAATTACCGTCGTTGGTCGAATTTTTCGCCGATTCCTCGCTGTCCAACGAGCTGTTGTCGCTGTGCGGCCTGGACAATGCCTCGTTCACGTCCTGAAGCTGCGCGTTCTCGTAGCTCCTTCTGTTCCTCGTGACCACAGCTTCGTTATGGAGTCGAAGATCCTTCCTGACGTACTCTGGACTGGAACCCCATTGAGTTCCTTCGTAGAAACCAGATTCCGGGGAGAGATCGGATACCGGGGAGATCGGTAACGTTGGTACCAACGATCGACGACACTTGGCGGAGGAGTTGTACCCGTTCGGTGATAAATTAGGGTCTGACAACGAAGTTCTGTTGTCTTCGGACGACAGTAACTCCTGCATACGAGGCGACTTAACAGATTTCTCCATTTCGATCATCAATCTGTCGTCGTTCGAGTTCAGCCTTCCTCTGGGATCTGGCTCGAAACTTTCCTTCGTCTCTTTCACGCTGATATTCTTCCTCATAGCGTTCAATCTCTCTCTGCTACCAGTGTGACGTCTAGCCGAGGTGAAACTCTCTCTGTGACCAGTTTCCACGCTCTTGTTGTCCAAAGGTATTAACAAGTACTTCCTGGAGCCAGTCAGATTCCTCCTTGACCCATCCAGCGACCTCTTCTCCTCCTCCAAGCCTCTCAGAATATTCTTGTGATAGAGACTCCTCCTGGAACTGTGCAACGATCTTCTCTCTTCGTCCAGCAACGGATGTCTCACTGTACTCCTTCGACTAGCCGATCTCAACAATGGACTACCCTCTCTGAACGCCTCTGGCTCCTCGAAGATGATCTCCCTGCTGTTCTTCAGGATCTCCCTGTTCACTGCCTCGGGTAACTGCTGCAGATCTACTTCGCCCATCACCTGGATACCGTCAGGATCTAAATCGAGGATCTTGCTGTGACTATGGTCGCGATTAGGCAATGCAGGACCGTGGTAAATAGAATCTCTGCAGGCGTTCCGACAGGTGGTCGCCTCGTCGGCACTGGTCTCGCTTCTACCGCTGTCCACGTAGTGCAGAGGATGCGTGTGTTGATGATGACTGACCATAGCCATTGGACGATGACCGTAGTGACACTGGCTGTCGTGATAGGACTCAACTAGGAAGTCCTCGTCGACTATAACACCTGTAAAGTGGTCTTCTACTTAGAGGAATTTGGAGCTTGGTTAAAACCAATGGATAGGACGTGTGTGTGTGTGTGTGTGTGTGTGTGTTTGATCTTAGAATAAGGCAAATTTGTGTGGTTAATCGTGTGAGGAATGCATGCTTCGACTTTGACGTTTGTGTAGAGATGATTTCGAAAAAATATGTGACTCAGCATTACTTGAACCTATTACGATAACCCTTTACCAACAACCTCTCATCGTGTCGTGTCATAAAACAATCGATGCTCAGCGAGAAGGACAACACGAGGGACAGATACAAGCTTATCGAACGTTCGAGATACACCTTTTCCCCCTGATCCCCCAAAAGAAAATGCACTCTTTCAAAATAATTCCTTCACTCTGTTCCAAAAAGCTCTTCTTCTTTCTTTCTTTCGTTTTCTCTTCGAATCCACTCTCGGTCGCTCCGCCTCTCGATCACTTTCTATCGTATATTTGTTAGTTGAAACGTGAGGCACAGTGTGTATCCGTTGGATTCGTTCAGACTCCCGGGCAGTCGTCGATCGATGGAATGTCAATGTGAAGTTTCGATGATCCGTGTCCTTGGGAGGTAAAGTATTCAGCTGTGTCCAGTTGCGTAGTCGTGCTGCTGCTGTTCAATATCACCGGAGCGGATTTCGGCTCGCTAGGAATTTTCCGCAGACCTCCATCTACGGTTATATCCAGCACCAAAAAGATAGGTCAGAGACGTTCGAACGTGAACACAAAGAAAAGCCCATTTTTTTTTTTTTTTTGCAAAGAAGAAGAAGCTGGCGAGATTTTGTCTTTTTTGCTTAGGAGAGGCGTAGTACATAGCAAAGCAGAACGAAG